TTTTTGTTTTCTTCTGGGGTTTCAACTAATTTTGTTAATTAGTTGATCGGGCACTTATCCAAGTTTATCCGGCCAGTGAAAACATTATCAGAACATTATCTCATTCCTGAAAACATTATCTCATTCCTAATAAATTATGCTGGAGATTTTACCGGGTAAAACCGGACCAAATTAGTCCAGTAGACCCCGATTATGCCCAAAAGCCCTTTTTCCTAGCCTCCATAGCAGCAAAAAATTTTTTCAACGAAGATTCAGTTAGCCCTTTCGGGAGAAAAATAAAAACAGGGGACTCAAACGTCCCCTTTTGGAAAAATTCGATGAGTTGATCGTTTTTGGCCGATTCGATGAGTTGAGGATTCGATGAGTTGAGGATTCGATGAGTTGAGTGTTTTTGGCCGATTCGATGAGTTAAGGAATTTTAGCCGATTCGATGAGTTGAGCGTTTTTGGTCGATTCGATGAGTTAAGGATTCGATGAGTTGAGCGGGCACGATTTTATTAGCTACAAATAAATATTGTAGTTTATGATTTAAACACTAATGGAGAATTTTACTCTTTTTTGAATAAAATAAAACAAAAAATAAATATGAATTTGGTTTAAATTAAATTATTGAGTAAATTGGAGAATAATAAAGAATAAAATAATATTTTTAAGTTATGATTAGAATAAATAATTAGAACAAGGATAATTAAGTATTGTACTTCTATAATATACATACACTGCTCCACATAAGTCGATTAACCGAAGGCTTCGGTTCGGTTTTTGTTGACCGAAAAATTTGGTGAAACCGACACCCCTATTTGTAATAAATAAATTACCTATTATTGTAAATAATTACGTGAATTATCTTTAAATTTTTGTTGAATAATTAGAATAATTTAGTTTACCCCGCAGGTGAGAGTAAAAGCGCAAAGAGAGCAAGGAAAAGACTAGGCGTGGTTAATGAAAAGAAATAAAAAATTAAATAATTTGAGATTTTAAATGGCGAATTAAAAATTTCAAAGGAAAAATAATTTTATTCAATTTCAATTAATATTTTTACTTCCGGTTTATTGAAGATGCTGGTTCGCTCCCAGCCGCCGAATAAACTTTTGGTCTAGCTAAAGGAGAGAAATAGCTACAGCCCAGTTGTTTATTTTATTTATTAATTAGGTTTACTTTTGTAAATTTATTTGAAGATAAAACCATAAAAATAAATTTGTTTTTCAAAATTACGAATGTTGGAAAAACAAATTGTAAGGATAAAATGCACGCATTAAATTCTTATAACCAATACAATTCTCTCTAAAAATCTCCCTAAACAAGCTTCTGACACTTAACTTTCTCTCACAATCCTTCAATTTTAAATTTAATTATTAAGACAAAAATCTAGCCATAATTTTACAAAAATTTTTACAAATTCTAAGAACGCTTCCATTTATAATTTAAATAGCGAATCAAAAATTTATAAAGGATTTTGCCGTTAGAGTAAAGATTAATTTTTTTTAAACCAAAAAATAACTTTATTCAATCCCAATTAATAATTTTACTTTAATTAATTTTATCTTTATAACTCAATATTTATTTTTAATTTAACATTCATTCCCTTTTCAATTTATTTTTCTTTATTGTGTATAAATATAGTCAATATGTTTTCTATCCTCTGTTGTAGGATTTATTGTTGTAGGTTTTATTGTTGTTATTTTTATTTTCTTCCCTTCATTTTCAACAGTTTTTTTCTTCTAAAATTTTTTATTTTAAAATTAATTTTAATTATATATTTTTAATTTTATTATTTTTAAAGTTTAAACAAATTAGGATACAAAAAATATTTTTTTATTTATAAAAAAATTTATATTTTCACACTCCCTAAGAAGAAATTATTTTTTAATTAAATACAGACTAGGATATGGATACGGATATGGATACAGATATTGTAAAAATGCCTGCGGATATCCGTCTGTATCCGCTGTAAATATCCGGATACGGATACCAAAACAGTATCCGTGTCCTAGTCTGATTGAATATATTATTTATTTTTATAAAAAATAAATTTATTTTTTAATTATTAAAATACATATACATACCCCATTAACATCTCTTTTTATTATTGAAGAAGAAACAATACTCATTTGGTCAATCACAATTAATCCAATAAAAATTAAAAGAATAAAATAAGAATTAAATATTTTAGTCATTTTTTAAATTTTATTTAAATTTTTTAAATTTTAATTTAATGATGGGTACATAGGTTAATTTTAGCTGAGTTTTTATATTGGTTAAATTAAACTAAATATTTTTTTTGAATTTAATAAAATTTATCAAAAATCTTTATTTAATTAGCTTTTTGTAAATAAAATACATTGAATTTTTAAAAAAGGCTTTTTTAGAAATTTTTAAAAAAGGCTAAAGACTATCGCTAAATTAAAAATTAATTTTTGGCAAAAGATAGTTTGAGATTTATTGGAAAAAAATGAATCAATATTCTAAAAATTATAAAGAAAAAAAATTCTTTTTTAATTTTTTATTTATTTTTATTTAAATTTATTGTTTAATATTTAATTAATAAAATTAACAATCTTCCTTTAGGGAAATTTTTTACAAAAGAAAGATGGTAGAAGTACATAATACAGAAATTAAAAACAAATAAAGACGAGACTATCAATTATTTTATAATTATATTATAGAATTTATTATTATTTTAATATGCCGTAAACTCTTATTTTTCAATCATCCGCCAAAGGGTCATTCCATTATATGTTGAGAGCCATTTTATTAGAGATTCTACAGTAATTATTTAAAATAATTTAAAATATTTGGAAATTATTTTCAAAGGACCGGAAGTGCGTTTAATTGATTCAATCTTTTTTTTGTACCAGAACTTTGTTTAAGTGACGCAGGAGTTAAATAAATAAAAAAAAGAAAAAAAAAGTCTCAAAAAAATACGTGGAATTCTCTTCATCACTATAAGGCTAATTAAATAGATTTATTCTTGGAAATATTTACTTAAAAAATAATAATAAATGACAATTGATTAATAATTTCTAACTAAAATTTTTAGTCTGAAATTTAAAATTCATAAAAAATTATTTAATTATTAAATATAATATTAAAACATCTTAAAATTAGAAAAATTTTAAATTTAAAAATTTGGAGTAACCGAGAGATTTACACAATTTTTCATTTTTCCTTATTCTTTGTTTTACCAATAAGTCATGACGGTCAATCAACCATTAGCCTCCTTTCAAAGTTTTTCTCCTTTTAACTTACCTTTTACTTAAAATTTATAATATAAGGGAAAGAATGATTGACAGTAAAAAGGAAAATTAATCTGACTCAAATAGGGGCGGAGGTGGGATATTAATAAAGTACCCAAATAAATACATAACAATATATTCCTTTATTACCTCCATATTCATTACAGATTACTTGAATTTTGCCAAAATCAACCATTATCTAAATGATATACCGTATTTACTCGAATAATTACCCTCTCTCAAATAATTACCCCCTCCCTATTAATTACCCCCTCCAGCGAGAGTACGAAACAATAATTACCCAGGGTAATTATTTGAGTAAATACGGTAGTGTCTTTTTACCTTGTCGTTAATTAAGATTTCTCTAATTCTCTAAAGCTAAATTTATTTTTAAAACATAAAATCTATTTATTTCAATTCTACCAATATTCATTGACAACTAATTAAACAAAGTTGGTAAATTTTATTAGCTAGAAATAAATATTGTAGTTTACATATGATTTAAAAACACTAATGGAGAATTTTACTCTTTTTTGAATAAAATAAAACAAAAAATAAATATGAATTTGGTTGACTTTAATTATTGAATAAATTGAAGAATAATAAAGAATAAAATAATATTTTTAAGTTGTGATTAGAATAAATAATTAAAACAAGGATAATTGATTTATTAGGACATCATATATTATTCTGAGGTACCTTATTCTGATGTTGTATAGATCATATGACTTTAGAAATTCTGCCTTGTCAATAATTGGGGAATAATTAAAATTCTAGATCTGGTTTTGAAATAGATTCATCATTATAACAATATAAAATTTATTTTCAATGCTAGTTCTAATCTATTTCCCTATGAAAAAGTAAATCTTGATAGATTTTTGAATAAATCGAATCAATTTATAAACAAAATATATAAAAATTTATGTTAAATTAATAAAAGCAGCAAAGTTTTCGAATCTAGAATGTTCTTTAAGTAAATACATCGGAAAACGTCCTTCGCCATTTGAACGAAGATTTTTTCCACGAATAAAACCATCGTTGAGTATTGGAGTTTTAACAACTAAAAAAAGTTAACAGATAAAATAACGATAGGGATAACATTATTCAACAAAGTATGTCTCGTGATAGTAGTATTTTATTAAAAGATTACCTATAATATCTCCCTTTTCTGCATCAATTTCCTCAGGACTCAAAGGATATTCTAAATTTATTTAATAATTAATAGATTTAATTCAGGGTTCGGATTAACAAAAATTCAAGTTGTTAACAGAAATGTTAACTGCAAGGTAAATACGAGGCAGAAATTTTCAAATAATTTAGAGGATTTATTGTCGCAAATTCCTCGCTTTTTTCTGTACACTATTTTCAAGAATTGAATCTTTTATCCAATATTTGCTTTTTAAAGTACTTTAACAATTTAACTTTTAAAGCACGAGTATTTTAAAGCACTGTACTTTCATTAAATCTACGATCCAAACCCGGCTTTAATTAAATAAAATCTGAAATAAATTATAATTTTATACCATGTATAAGTTTATATTCAGCTATAGCTTCCATTTCATTTTCTAAATAAATTTTATTTTTTATTAAATTTTATTCATTTTTGTATTTTCTTAGCGAATAGAAAATTTAATTACATTTTATAAAATAGAAATTTTAGGGAATAATCCACTTAAGCTATATTTCCCCACCAATGGCTTTAATAGATATACATATTAAGCCTTCTATTGCCCGATTTCTCTGGGTGGCAAAATAAACTTATTATTACAAATTTTCCTTACCGAACCAATACTCAGCATAAAAATAGTCTAACGAATGTACATTTTCACTAGCGTCACCTTTGATGGTTTGCATAAGTTCATAAGTTAAACGACAAACCTAGGAGTATAAAAATTAGGCTTGTATTAAAGTATTAAAATTTAACATAAATATGAAAATTAAAAAATTCTTTTTTCCTCCCTATAATATTTTCACTATGTATTATGTTTTTAAAATCCAAAACTTTTATTATTTAAATAATACAAACATTACTACTAAATGTACAAACAACAAATTGACAGTTTGAAAGAATACGAAGTTCAGATAGCAATTCAATTAAAGCTTCCCTTGATATTCTTTCAGGATCATCATGATGATATCCATCTAATAAAAATAAAATTCGTCTAAAACAAATGTGTTAACAAATTTTTAAATAAATTTGATGTAAGCCTTTACTATTAGTTTTTTCAAATTTTCTCCTCTAACAATAAGTTTTATTTTTTTAATTTTTATGCTTAAAATAAATTTAAAAATTAAATACTGAGAATCGGAATAAAAAAATATATATTGTTTTTAGAAACATTCACTCTTCTAAACTATAGATTATCTCTTACATTGTAAATCCTGTTTGCCATGATAAATTTCGTATTTATTTCCCCATTTTCTATTAGCTTCTTCTAAAACAGAATTTGGTTCGTCCGTTGCAATAAAAAGCCTTCGTTTATTTGTACAGTTTGAATTTACTAATTGGTCATTATCTAGACTTTGTTTAGGTCCAACCATAACATCATACCAAAAATCTACCCATTCCTTTATTATTAATTTTATTTAGGATTAAATTTTCTGATAAACCATATAATCTTCAAGATTGTGTAATTTTGTTTCAGCTTTTTTGTCTGTTAGTCGAACATGAATTCCAACAATTGGACCTTTTAAGTTTTGGAAAATCTTTAGTGAATTAAAAAAAATCCTTTTTTAATTCTACATATATTAAAATGTGATTTTTATCCTGATAATTTAATCTCTGTCAATCATAATTTTAACGGTAATATTAATATAAAATTAAAAATTATTTTTATTTATAATATTTTACCACATTCAAAGGGTATTCTCGAATAAATTTGATTTGTCTCATTTTTTGTTTTTTCATTTTCTCTCCCAGCATATTTAATTAACTAAAACTTCAATATTAATTTAATTTCATGATTCAATACTTGTCCAAGAAACCAAAGTGGAGGGTTTGGATGATTTTCCAGAAGAAAATCTTTAATTTCAGTTGGTGCTACTTCTGGTGCATGAGGCAATTCTCTTTTCATTACCTTAAGTATTATAGTAATTATAAATAATATTAAAATTTTAATGACTAAACTAGGGATACCAAAAACATTTTTTGAAAAATATTTTTGTCAAAAATTTTCTCTCAAAAAGGTTAAAGAATTATTTTTCAATTTTAATAAATGATAAAATTTTATATTTATAAGATTTTACCCTGCACATGTCCCAACGTCTATCTAAAAATACTATTCTATCAGACTGTCCAGGTTCAGCATACAGTGGTATTGGAAGAAATGGCTTAACCTGAAAATAAAGGATGAAAGTCTTTACATCCATGCCAATACTTACATTTTCTAAATAACTACAATTAGTTATTTGTTCGAATATTTCATTCCATTGGACATTATATGCCCATTTATTACCCTCATCCTCAAATATAAGTGTTCGACCTGCGCCAGAAGCAATTGAAAGACAATAACTAGTAAATTTTAAAAATGAAATTTAAAAAAAATAATATTTTACCTAACATGATGCATTACACATCCAAAACCGCAATTCTGTTCTAACTATTTAAAATTATTTAATTTAGATATTTAGATAAAATTATGTACATATGTTATTAAGAAAAATAAAATTCGTTCATGAAAAAATTCTTTATTTTATACTTACCTTACATACAAGAATACGTGAATTAGAACAATTATCAGGATTTTGTATTCGATTTAACGCAGATTGAATTTTTTCCCCCATAGTTAAAAGTTCCTTTTCTTTTCTATTTTGTATGTAAAGTTGTTGTTCTGTTGATAAATAACGAATTATCTGAAAGAAAATAACAAATACATATAATTTTATTTTTTTCTAGTTCTTAATGCTCAAAAACCATCGGGGTTCGAGCTTTCTTGAGCATATCTAATTATAATATAGATTGTAATATATCATTCGAAAGTTCTTAAAAAATTTATCAGTGGAAATTAGTTGCAGAATTTTTCATTTTTGTTATTTACAAAATCATATATAATATTTACAAAACCGGTTTCAACAAATTTTAAAACATTGAAACTCCCTGAATACCAAATCGAATTTTCTTTTTTCCAATTTTTTCATTAAAAATATAAAATAAACCTGTCTCTCTAATATACGTTTTTCTTCTTTACTGTTTGGTGTAGTTGATGTTAAATTTGATTCAAATAATCTCAATAAATATATCTTCTTTTGTACAAGAGACATTTGTTCATATGCCTCCTAAGTTAAACATAAATTTTAGCTTCACTTAGAGCTGCCTATTTTTGCCCATAAAAATTCACCAAAAATCACCTTGCTAGTTTTTATTTCATTATTAGCCAAAAGAATTTTAGGCAAAATCATTGTAATATTCTTATTCTTATTATTTTTATTTTCAATTTGTTTTAAGAATATAAAATAAATAAATAAAATTAAAATTATTATAATTATTAAATTAATTATTATTTTAATTTTATTATTTGAGTGAATATTTGTTAAAATTATTTCATTTTTATCTGAAATGTTGTCAATTTCGTTGGAAGAGATTTGGTGATATCGTGACATTTTTATAATTTAACTTTTTAAATTATTTAGATTTAAAGATTAACTAAAGTATAGAAATAAACAAATATAATGCATCAAACTTATTTCATGTAAAAATTTTATCAGTTCAATTAACACCTTTTTTTGAATTTTACTCGAATTTTTATCAAACTTATATATTAATTTTTTAATATTTCTAGGGGTCCAAATTTCCTTCTCGGCCCTTTAGTAGTATATCCACATTAAGTATTTACATGTCTGTATCGTTAATTAAAGTTAGGCATATAATTAAAAAATAAATAATAAAATTATGAAATAAATTCCGAAAATAATTTATCTTGTTTTAATCTTTACTTTAAATTAGTATATATTTGTTAAAAGACCACACAAATAGATATTGAAAAGGAAATAGGTAATTATTTAAATTTTGTTTAATAATAAAGAAAAATTATAAAAAAAATTTTATGAGAATTTTCTTTCAAATTATTTACAATTAATATGTACTTTTTATGGGTAAATCAAAATAGGTATGTACCGTATTTACTCGATTAATTCCCCACCCTCTATTAATTCCCCATGCCAGGGATGTTGAAAAAATAATTCCTCGGGGGAATTAATCGAGTAAATACGGTATATTAAATGTCAGATATTCATAAGAGATTTTAAAAATTAGCTACAATTAGCTTTTAATTTTAGATAGGTATACATTATAATAGGTATTTTATCATTTTATAAATTTTCTCATTTTCAATTCAATGTACATCTTCATTAATGTTTTATTGTCAAATTTGGGTATGAACGTACACAGGAAATTTGATTTGGCATTGGATGAACTCGAGTAGTTGAACGGATATTATTGGCCACAGATTGGCGTTTATCTAATTTAAAAGCCAAAAAGAAAAAAATACTTCCAAGCATTATTCGGCAATCTGTTCGAATTGTTTTGTTGAAAATTAAATATATAACTGGCGGGAAACCTGTTTTTAATTTTTAAAATTATTTTAAATTAAATGAATAAAATTTTATTTTGTGTTCATAAAAGTGAAGAATTTTTTAAAATCAAAAAAATTTTTTAAATTTACCAAAAACAAAATAATTAGTATAATATCCAAACAAAATTAATGCTTGACTTATGGGCAAATACTGCATAATTGAAAAGAGAAGAGTACAAGAAATATTTAACCCAATAATTATTGATACTTGGAAAAACATCTTTAAAATTTTTTTAAAATTTTTTAAAGATTTCCTTATTTATTTACCGATATTTTCCAACTTCTCTGGCTAACATTTGAAATTGCTCTAACTTCTTTTAATCGAAAAAGAAATAGAAAAATAAATAATAAATAAAATGCCGGAAATCCAAACGTCAAAAAAGTATCATAATAAATAGTCATTGGATTTATATACTTTAAAATGATTATTTTTTAAATTTAAAAAATAAATTTTACGTCATTTATATCAACTTTAACTGTTGGGTAGCTTTGAAATCTAAAAATATAAGTTTAAATTTAATTTAATAATTTTTTAAATAAATTACGGATTAATAAACCAATTCATATTAACTCCATCATAAATCCCAGGATTAGCATAAAATAAATAATAAATTGATAAACTAATCGAGAAAAACATCCAAATTAAAATACGTTTGCCTTTAAATAAAAACGTAAAAATAAAAAATATATTTAAGTACCATCAAAGAAAAATTTTGAAATTTTTGGAGAAAGAGAATCTGCACAGCGATCCAATGCTAGGAAAAAATTTGCACTTGATTCCAGAGCAAAAAGTGCTTAAAATTATGTTTTTATTTGATTGAAAATCAACTCTTACCCCCAGCAAAACATGCTGTAATATAATTAAATTTATCATTTGGGCAAAACATTTCTCCAGTAAAATTAAAAACGCCAGTTTCCAATCCTTGTATAAACATCATTAACATATCAGCAATTCCAATGAAAAAAAGAAATTTATAGCAGGAATGCTCCATATGTTTATAAATTGAACATAAACATGGGAAGTATAATACCTAAGTTTAAATAAACTTAAATTTTTAAAATCAATTTTTTTGAAAAACTTTAATTTTATTTTTTAATCATTTCAAATTCAAAAAATTATTAAAAATTAAATACCTCAAAGAAAATAAACAATAAAATTATAATAGAGCCATTAAGTGGATGATAACGCATAATAAATGGGATAAAATCTACATTTATTTGAGAACAATTGTAGAGTCTCTCCCATTGGTCGTGTCGAAATAAATATAATTCCATTTTAATTTTCTGTTTAATTATTTAATTAAATATCAGTAAAGACTCGACGGCTTTTTTAGTTATTCTAATATGATCAAGCCATCTCAACTAAAATGTCAAAAAAGGAGGTTCGGCTTTTGTGCTTCAGATAAGTCTTTGATAAATAATATTTAATATGACAAATATTTTTAAGGAATACTAGTTATAAGAATTTAGTTATATTTTTAAAGAATAAGCTTACTAGTTATTAATTATAAAAGTACATGTTTGATAATTTTAAACAGGAACTCTGACAGATGTTTATTTGAGGGTACAAGCTATTTATTGTTTGTGAACTAACAATAATATTTACAGTAATAATAAATTACATAGAATTGTTAAACAAAACTTTTAATTAAATTTTATAATTACCTATTTTACTAGTTTTTTATTCAAAGAAAAGAGCTAACAAAGAAAAATATCTTTATTTTTAATAAATAATTAGATGTTAGTAAAATAATAAAAAATTATAGAAAAGTATTATGTTTGAACATTTAATTGAATATATTTTTTTAATTATTTTTTGCAAAAAATATTTAAAATTAGATTAGAAATTTTACAGATTTTAAGAAAAATAAAAACAATTTTAATTTAATTTTATAAACATTAAATGATAAAACAAAAAATAAACCAGGAAAAACAATATTTTTATTAAATTAAAAGTAAAATTTATTCAAAAAATTTTATTCTGAATTTCCAAATTTTTTATTTAAAATAAATATTAAAATAAAATTAATTTACATTTTAAAATAAATTTTTAAAATTTATTTGAATGAGATTTTAATATAAATAATTTAAACAGACATTTTTCGAAAATAATTATCTAAAACAATTTAAGCTTGAATAAGTTTAAATATTAATTTTGTATGGATAAAAGGTTATTAACTAGTAAATAAATTGTTATTATTTAATAAAGCATAAAAAGCAACAAAATTCTTAATGAGATAAGGAACTAAGACATTGTATTTATTTGACATTCATTATAAAAGTTTAATACATTTTCTTTTCAATTATTAAATACAAAATTTAAAATTACATAAATATATCGTCATCTAAATGAGCCATTAAATTCTAAATCGCTTAACATGAAAATTTAATTAATAGTAAAATATTTATAAGGACATAAAAGGCTGTTGTGTTTATTATTGGCAGATATTATATTTTAATTGATCAGTCTTAATTACTATATAGCATTGAAGTGAGTTAATTTGCTTTTGGAATATAAATTATATCTTAATCTATAAACTTCTTGACCAATTATTACTTTCACAATAAATTCTTCGAAACGGATCAACAATTCCTTAACAATTACGGTATTCATGATAGTGGGTGAAATGGCGAAAATAAATGTTTGCAACATTTGGCAAAAGTTTTATAATTTTCACATAAAGATTATCTTAATAATCTTACTTAATTGTTAATTAATTTCAGATTAGATTATTTAATCCAATAGAAAATGTAATTTGTACATTTAAAAAAATTTTAAATATAAATATGAAATTAACGTAAATACTGTATTAAATACTTTAGGTAATTATTGTTTCAATCTCTCACAAAAGGGGGTATTTAATGGAGGCGGGATAGTTATTTAAGAGAGGGTATTTAATACAGTATATACGGTAGACATCAGTAATTTAATCTGTGTTTCTATACCAATCTTAATTTAAAAATATTTAAAATAAGACATTAAATGACCAAAAAATTGTAATGATCGTTGTTAGTTATGTTTATCAATAAATATTTTAAATTTATTTAAATAATTAAATTTATATCTTTATAAAATTCCCATTTTAAATATTTTTAGACATTTTTCAGAAGTTAGGCAAAGCTGGATCTACAACCCGATAACAAATATGGGGACTGAATGAAATTTAAAAACATTAAAACCGATCATTTCATATTTGGAAAATTTTTTAAAATTTAATTTTGAATAAATGTCAAAACTGAATCAAAAGTTATCGGTTTGTAAAAGCTTTGTCTAACATATTTTTATTTCCCTTTCAATTATTTCCATTCTCCTCGCAATTTTTTTCAGTAGTTGTTGTTACTAAATTTAAAGGATTAAATAAATAATTTTTAAAATAAAATTTTATTTTACCTGTAACATCTTTGCATTTTTCAGGTAAAATACACGTTGCATTCTTCCCATAAAATTCTCGAACAAGACCTTCCTTGCATCGGCAGCCAGGAAAGCAACGAAGAGAAAAACACAGATGATGAAGTTTTTTCGATAAAAGGGATTCTGTTGTGGTTATATGCTTCTGTTGTTCTTCTTTAGCTACATCCTCACAATTTTTATCTCTAAAATGTTTATATTGAGGGCATAATCCAATACAATCAAAATATTCTTCATTTAATTCATCATGGCAAAAGTTTGGTGGGGGAGTTCTTTTGGGGAAAATAAAGTCAAATGGAGGAATAACTTTCTTTGTTACAGATGGTGTATCTGTTGTTTGATCAGAAGAATTGCCATTTTCTTCACAAGGAGGCTCCGTTTCTTGACAATAAATAAAAGAAAATATTGTTGTTAAAAGAAAAATATTTAGAATTAATTTAATCATTTTTCCTTTAAAATAAATTTAAATATTATTTTAGAAATATACAAAGCTTTCAGATAAATTTTAATCAAATAACGATTTTAATTCACGTTTTGAATTTATAAGGTAAAGAAATTTTTTTAAATTTAACTTCTAATGTAAAAATTTTATTGTAATATAATTTAATTGAACAAAACAAGGCTCTAGAAAATTCACTATTTAGAATTTACAAATCTGATAAAATAAACTGACTGTTAGCTCTAATTGATTAAATTAAATAAATTAAGAATTAATTCCTTTTTTAAAAAAATGGCAATTAAAATAAAATATGGATAATTATTTATTTAAAAAGTTATTTAATAAATTACGCAATGTCTATTGATGTGTAAACAAAGGATTTTTTTAATTTTAATTTGAATAAATTAAATTTTATTAAATAAAAATTATTTTTAGAAATTAGCGGAGAGGGATGCCTCCTCGCTAGTTTTTAGAAAAAAATATTTTTGCCGCGTGTCATATTCTTTTTCTATCCAAAAAATTATTTTTTTATAGATTTTGTTGACGTTTTTCTTATTTTTCTGGTAAAAACTGGTAGAAATTGAAGAGTAATATACCATGTAGTTTATAAAATATTTTTTTAAAAATTTAAAAAACAGATTTACAAATAAACTAGGAATTTTAATATAATTGGCAACTCTAAAATAAATTTTAAAAAATTTTTTCACAATTAAAAAAAAATTAATAATGCATTTACGCAATTAAAAATTCGATTTGAAAAGGATTAGCAAAAAATATTTTTATTAATTTTATTAATTTTTGCAAAAAATAGAAATTATTGATAAAAAATTCTATAAATTTTAATTAGGGTTAGACACAACCAGATATTAGCAGGCACCCTTGGTCTTCGATTAATCCAAATTTAAGAAACCCGGTTTACGATTTTAAGTTTCAGTTAAATTTAAAAATTATTTATTACCAAAAATTTTCTTTTTTAATATTTTATCTAAAATTTTATTTTCTTAAATTTTTGGCAATAAATATCTACTTAAATTTTGGCGTCTAAAGCAAGTCATATCCAACCCTGATTTTAATTTTACACCAAAATATTTAAAATTTTTCTACTATAGGAAGATAAAAAAGTAAAAAATACTTTAATTTCTAAACCCAATTTATTTTTATTTTTATTCCACGTTTTAATTTTATTGTTAAATAGTGTAAATATATTTTGTAGAATGTACTTGGAATAAATAAATAAAAATAATTTTAAAGAAAATTTTTAATCTTTACTTTGAAAAACATTATAAAATATAAAGGATATTTTATTAAGATAAAGAAAAAGTTTTACAAAAAATTTATTTAATGTTTGTTTCCACGTATTTACTGAATAAAATGAAAGGTTTATTGTGGAAATGAAAGAAAAGTTTTTTTTTTAAAATATTTTTTTTAATCTTAATTTTAAATAATTAATTAATTATATATTCTTCTTTATTTTCTCTTTTTCTTCTAAATATTTATTTATTCCCTTTAATCATATAAACAAGAGCACGTTTTAAGATTGTTGATTTTCCACTTTTTTCAATTGCTTGTTCTAATGGTATCTAAAAAATTTCTAAATAAATTATTTAATTAAAAATTACCTTAAATCGTTTAAAATATTCATCAGCAATATCCCCCAAATCTAATTCAGAATGAGCAACAACCAAATGAATTAAAGTATCGTCTTTGACTCCCTTCTAATTGAAATATTTTGAATTAATTTTAAAAGATTTACTTGTATATTTTTATGTAACATTTCAGCTACTTCTCCATATATTCCATTACGAACAAAATTACAAATAGACAATAAAGCCTTACAATCATCCCCACTAAATTCGGATTTTATAGCTTGTTCCATTGAATGTTTAGTTAATTTTTGGTACTAAAAATTAAATATTGAATTTGATTAATAAATTTTGAGGAAATTATCTTTAAATTTTGAAAAATATTTATTCTATAGGAAAATAACCTAGACCAATATGGAAAAGATAAATAATTAATAAATAAAAATATTAATCACTAATTTAATATTAAAATTTTTTAACTAGTCTTTGTTATAGCAAATAATGTACTAATGCACTTTTACATTAATTTGGCTGATGAAAAAGTGTTAAAATAATAAATTACTATTTTATTATATATTTACTACCTCTTCAAAAAGTAATGAAAGTTGATTAAAGTTTTGATTAGCCAAAATTTTAATAAAAACAGCCTCATCAGTTCCCCATTTCTTTTCTCCAGCTTTGTATAGAGCATCAGCATCCTTTAAAATTAAAAAATTATTTTTCTTCTTTAAAATATTATTTTAACTATTTTGGCTTGTTCTGGACTTGTTCTAAAACCTTCATCTCTATTGGCTTCCAATAAATCTAAAAGCAATGCTTTAAATGTTCCACTCGTTTCTGAAGCAATATCCTTAACCAAATCTTTTCCATACAATTCTTGATATGCATGTTTAATTTGTCTCAATTGAATATTACCACGAGTTACCAAAATCTTTTTTAAAAATATTTTTTATAAAATATGTATGTATGAGGTTGTGAATAAATAATGAAAGAATAAGATTTAGTGAAGTAAATTATTCAATTCTATGGTTGGCGGATCTGGAAATTCTCGGATCGGATATCCGGAGAGTTCCCAGGATCCTTCAATCCCAACTCTCATATTCTATCTATTCAACACCTCACATTATATACAATTTATTAATTTATGTAACCTCAATTAAAGCATCCTCATCAGTACCCAAACCCTTAAAAAATAAATTTATTGAATATTTTTAAAACAAATATATTTTATACTTTCATAGCTTTTTGTAAATATTTAGCATCATGATATGCCGGAGTATCTAATAATGCCAAAAATAATTGGTTAGTAGCCAATTCACTAGGAGGTAAACGTTTCTTTAAATCTTCAACCAAATCAGCACCTCCATATTTTGAACGATAAATTTCTTTTAATTGTTGACGCTTAATTTAATTTTTAAAAATTCTTGATTAAATACAAAATAATTTACTTGCGCATTACTTGGCTTTACAAAAAAAGAAAAATAGTCATCATAATAATTTGGGTCAGCTCCCGGTTTAGTTGTAAAAAATTGGTAAATTGTATGGACTTCTTGGTCGGCTTGAAAATTTTGTCTTGGAATTATTCGAGGATTTGGCATTTTTTAAAATTAATTCAATAATTTTTAAGTATTTCTAAATTATTTATTTAACTAATTTTTGTTAACAAAAAAACTATCTTAAATAAATTGCGAAGCTTATTACTAAGGCTGAGCAGTAGGCGGCGTGGTGTGATGGATAACACATAGTCCAGTCTATTGAAGATGCTGAATAAACTTTTGCCCTAGCTGGAGGATAGAAATTAGCCCAGCTCTGCTTTACTATATTAGGTATATACTTTAAAAATAATTAACAAAAATTTATTTAAAATCATAAAATGAAATTAAAAATATAATTTTGATTATATTTATTTAATAGAGCTGTTATGTACGAATGAAAGAAAAATAAAAATTTTGAGAGAAAAATAAAACCAAAAAAATAAATGTATGATTAAATAATAAAAAAATGTTTTTGATTAATAGTAAATAGAATTGTGTGGCTGATATACAAATGTGTAAAAAATTTCAAAAAAAACCTGTTTGTTTGGAGAATGGGAGAGAATTTTTCTTTTTAAATATAAAAGAATTAATCATCAAAATTCAGATTTAATTTTGTTTATTTATTCATCGAAGGTAACTAGACAGATAATTTTAAAAAACAATAAAAAATGTCAATTAAATGAGAATATTTTATTTTAATTTTAAAATTCTTAGAATTTAATAGTATTAATGTACTTTTAAAAAATATTTTAATAAATGGGAAATTTTTTAGAATTTATAATTTAATAAAAAAGTCGTCTAAGAAGAACAAAAATTTTTATGATGCAAACCTTCGTAATTTTTTCATGTTGTAAAGATGGAGCTATGATGTTTAAACTGACAATGATTTCGTTTCGTTTCGATCTCTTGTGCCATTTTTTCCATTTTGTTTCGTTTAGTCCGAAACAGGTTCATTTCGTTTTGTTTCGCTACGAAACAAATTAGAAAAAAATAAATGTACGTACATCATTTATCCCTGTTACGTTATCATTTATTTCTTTTTCCTACGAATTATGGCTCCAAAACTGCAGATTCTAATAATTATTATATCCTAAGTACTGCCACTAATGATACACGGATTTTTTTATAGGTTGAAAGTTATGAAATACAAAAATTGTCATAATTTTTATTATATATTCTCATCCATTCTATATTTTCCCTAATTTTAGTACATAGTTCAGCTGCTAAATTTCTTTATCTCAAGAAATTATTTTGTTGATCAACTAAATAAACAACAACAAAATAACATTTGGCTTAGCTTAAATGTGGTTGGGCACCAGATGGCTACAGCAAATATAAATTTAATATCTGCTCATTAATATTTGTTTTTTCTCATTATTTTTTACATTGTTTATGATCCAATATATTTTTAGGATTATTTACCTTTATTTTTTAACAATAACAAAAATATCGATAACATTTACTTTTTAGCTTTATAAAATCTAAACAAAAAAATAAATAGCTTTAATTGTATTTAATAACAAAAAAAAGTGTTAAATCCAAAAAATAATAACAAAAATATCATAGTAGATAATAAGCTTTATGTATTTACTTTTAAACTTATTATTTAACAAATATATTTCTCCACTGAAATAATTAAAATTAAAAGGTCAAAATTAACTTTTTTATACATAATTTAGAGAAAATTTTAAAGAATGAAATACATTTATTTTATAATTGAATTGATAGTTACAACTTTTGTTGTTGCTTTGATTAAAGGTTCGAGAGTAATCTTTCTATATTTTAAATAACATTGAAAGCTTACCTCGAAAAACATTTTTAAAGTTTATTAATATTTAAATCTCAAGAATAAGAGTAGTATATTCAATAAGTAATGGATATTCATAGATTCTAAAATACTTTGTATACAATGCTTGGAAGCTCAAATTAAAGTAAAAAAGTAAAATCGAAATTTTCAAACATTTACTTTATGATAACAATAAAAGATATATTTAGGATAAAAATAATGAGAGTTTCTGATTTGAATATTTGATTGGTAATTTAAATAGTTAAATCGTAACTGAAAATTCTAAACATGTAACTAAATATTCCACATATATGTTTTTATTATCTTCTTATTTTTATAAGTTTTCTTTCTAGAACCAAAGGAATATAAATACAATTTACTTGAAAATCCAAAAGGTTTAATAGTTGTTTTTACAAATGAGCCAGATAGTAACATAATTTTATCTGGAAAAGAAGAAATTAAAGAATTGCCTGATGATTGGATAAATATTTGGAATGAGGCTTCTATTAAAGTAAAAAACATTAATTAATTAATTAAATAATTAATTTTTTGAAGATTTGTTTGGAGGAAGCAGCGGATAAATTAAAAAAGTTTATTAGTAAAGATGGAAAAATTAAAGACCCGGATATGATTATTGGAGTAATATTTTAATAGTAATTATTTTAATTTTTTTAAATTAAGAATATGGATTCAATGAATGCTGAAACTAAAAAATATTTTGAAGAACGTCCAAATGTTCAAATAATTCAAGTACAAAGTCAGCATAAAACAGACCAAGAAAAAGTTTAAAAATTGATTTTAATTTTTAAAATTAATTTTATTTAATAAAGGCAATGGATATAATTAATGAACGTATTAAAGAGAAAAAAGCTAAAGAAGAAAAACAATTTGAGGGAATTATTTTTTTGGGGCCCACACATGGACGTATGGACAAAGTTTTGTGTACACAACACACAATGGTTTAATTTATTTAAATTAATTTTTTTGGTAAGAAGGATCTGTCTAAGTAGATTTATTTAAAGAAGAGTTATATTGTTTTTGTATTAACCTTACTTAAAAAATTTTTATCAAATGCTCAAGTAGAGTTAAATCGTTTGGAAGTGTGTGAAGTAGAATTATAAATTATCTAGACCACGATTAGCCGTTAAAGATTTATTGTTGGAAGCAAATAAAATGAATAAAAATCAGAATTGAATATTAAACAATAAATTTTAATTTAAAGGCAGTAAATGTACTTAAACATCCTGATATTCCGATAATGACTTTAGATGGAATTAATTTTATGGTAATGATTCCACCAGGTTAATAATAATTTAAATATTTTATTTTTTTATTTTTTAAAGGAAAAACAAAAATTAATTTGGAATTCATAGAAAATACAAAAAAAGCTGGGATTTTCCCAGTCCGTCAAAAAACTACAAAAATATTGACAAAAGGATTTAAATGGAATTTTGGAAACGAAAAATCAATGGTTGGTGGAGTTGAACATCCAGAACGTGAAATAATTGAATATGGAGGGAAATTGAGTTGCTCGAATAAAATTGAAGTTAAAATTTAATTTAATTTAAGAGAAAAATTAATTTTAAGACATTAAATGATATTTATGTTGATGCTACTGAACCTGTACTAATTACAATTGAATTAAAGAAAAATAATGTTTTGATGAAAAAAGAAAAATATTGATGAGAGAATTATAAAATTAAAATAAAATATACCTCATAAAATTATTTTTTTAATTATTTCTGCACAAATTCGGTTTATACCCCCCGAAACTGAAATTAATTTTATGAAGAATTATAACAGGCAATTTCAGAAAATAAATGATTCAAAATATTTCCTACAGAAACTAAGCCATTATTTTTAAAAAATCAGTTGGAGGGTTATTATTTAACCGATTTTCTTCCGGCACATTTAAAATAATTTAATTTAAAACAACTTTATTTTTATTACTTCTATTTTTAAAACGAGATAAAATAGTAAAGAGTATTTTGATTCTATAATGTAAATAACTTAAAATATAATACCCTATTAATTTATTTTAATCTATTTTTAAAGTCCATTCCTCTTTATATTTACTTTTTCCATATTGAATAGCCCCAATAGTTTCATAAAGTTTTTTCATTATATTTATTTCTTCAGGTAATTTATCATAACTTGGAATTATTAATGTTTCAAATTCTCCACTTATATTGTTTTTATAAATAATTTTAGATATCGGCATTACACCACAAGCCGTTCCTGTTCCGAAAAATTGCAAAACCTTTTTTAAAAAAATTTTTTAAAGAATTGTGTTTAAATAGGGGAGAGGTGCGCGTAACTAAAAATAAAAACTGATAAAATTACCCTTTCCTCATTTATTGCTTTTTTAATTTCATTCATTGTTGGATAACGTATACTAATATTAAATTCATTCCATTCTTTAGCAATCTCCAAACAAGATTCTCTAACTATACCTTCAAGTACAAGTCCATCTTCTGTTGGAGGAGTAATTAACTCCAATTCTTTTGTGAATTTTAAATTACTAATTTAATTAGTATTTTAGAAAATAACCTCCATTTTTATCTTTTATTAATAAAAAACAATTCATAACTCCAACTTCAGTTATTTTTTCATCCTCCCCAGAAAGCCACAATACTTGATGGCAACCCATATTTTCAGCTATTTTACTAACATAAATTGTTGGGGCATAATTACTTTGAAAATATAATTTAATTTAAATATTCTTTTACAGAGAAAAACCTTCCCATTTTATAATTTCCAACGCCTCCAGGGAATGCTCTAGTATATTTAGAATCAGCCATTACAATTGCCGGTTGAAATCCAGACTTGAAATAAGCGCCGACTGGACATGTTATTATATATAATTTGGCACTTTTTGGACTTGTTAGATCAAAAGAAGCATCTGTCCCAATAAATGTTGGACGGATATAAAGAGCTGAGGACGGTTGATTTGGGACCCAGTCAATTTCAATACGAATGAGAGAAATAATTAACGACAAAAGTTCTTTTGGGTCAAAATCCTTTTTTTAATTAAAATTATTTTTAAAATAATTTATAAAAATAACAGGAAGGGAAGCTCTAACAGCACCCCGACGCATTCTGGCAATATTCTTTTCTGGTCTAAATAATCTAACAGAACCATCTTCCCCTCGAAAAGCCTTCATTCCTTCGAAAATTTCTGGCGCAAAGTGGAAAACCTTTAAATTATTTTTTTATTTATGTAATCTTTTAAAAATCACTTTTGACGCTGGGTGTAAACTTAAATTATGTAAAGGACAAATTTTTGGTTTGCCCCATCCTTCTGATTCTGTCCAATCAACTTCCGCCATGTGATCAGTGAAATACTCACCAAATCTTACTTTGTTCATATCAGTAGGTTTAGGTTTAATTTCATTGGGCGCGCAAAGGGTAATAATTAAATCATTACACTAAATTAAAATTAAATTATTTATTTAATTTTATTGAAAGCTTTAATTTAATATTTATTTTAATAAAAATTTTTTATTATTTTCTTACATTAAATGAATTAATTTTTTCATCTCCCATTAAATCATTATTGTTCACATTTGTAGATTTATTAATTTTTAATTCAGAAAAATTATCCATTATTTTAATTTTGTTTAATTTAATTAAAATAAAACAAAATAAAATTGATTTTGCAATTATTTTTAAACTAAAAGAATGTACTATGTAGTACTTTAAATTTAAAGATAAGAAAATTTTTTTGCTAAATAAATAAAAAGACAAATAATTCTTATGATTTTTAAGCTTATTTAATTAAATATATCGATCAAAGAATGAAAATTTTAATTAAAAAGTTCTTTATCGAAACATAAATTAATTTTTAAATTTATTCAAAAGTATGGAATTAATCGAAACTGCTTTTGTGAAAGTTTCTCAGCAATTAATGTTAATTGTTGTGGAACTTTGTGATTAATATAAGTATTATTGTGAATATTCTGTTTTATTTATATTTGACAATAGAAATTTAGTTTTGAGATCATTTAAATACATACTAGATCCATATTGATATCAGGAGTGTGCCTTTTTGCTTTTTAAAATCTGTTTCGGCACACCCCTGCTACATATCTCTTTTAAATATCAATTGACTAGCTTCAGCTCGTTTCTTTTTGCCACTCTCCTCTAAATAGTTGATCAAATGTAATATCATCACTCATAATACTTGGAGAAAGAACCTTAAGTAGAGTAAATTTGTTCTTGAATTTTGTAATTAATTAAACGCTAAAATCACCTGAACGGTGAAGTTCCCCTTGCTAAGAATACTTGGCGATAGGATATTTGGACTTAACACTGTAACTGCAAAATTGGATGGCGAAAGAACTCGCGGAAGTAAAAAGTCTGTGTTTTATTTAAAATTAAAAGATTATTTATCTAATTATTTTTAATTTTTTAATTTATCTATAAGAAATAATTTTCTAATTAAATAAAAGTTACTAACTTGGAGTAAGAACACCGGCATAGAATGTTGTTGGGTTTAACACTCGGAACTCAATAAATTTTGGAGAAAGTACCTAAAATATTTTTCACAAAAGAGCTTTCTAATAATTAATTTATTATAAGTTTACTTTCTGTTAATAATTTGTTGATAAATTAATCTACTATATAATATCTTTTTTACCTCTCCAAGCATTGTTCTCGGAGATAACACCAAAGATGCAAGAGCTCTAGGTGAAAGTATATTTGTGTGAAAAAATTTTGGTGAAAGTATTTCTGTCCATAGTGTATTTGGCGTTAATATATTTGCAGTAAAAGCGGTCGGGGACTGAAATTTTATATTTTTTATATATTAATTTATTTGCTAGAATAAAATTATTAAGCAAAAAATATTTTTATTTGCTCACCAAAACAGTAAGTGCCATTGCCTTTGGACTCATTATACTAGGTATAAATGCTACCGGACTTAAAACATTCAGCTTAAATTAAAACAGGAATTAATTTAAGAGATATAGAGGTACCTACCAACATAAATTTTGGACTTAGCAAAGTTGTAGCAAAAGCTTTTGGGGAAAGTATCTGAATAAGATGTAACTATAAATGTAGATCTTAACTTACAATATTATTTACACCAACAACAGCATCTTGTCTCAAAATGTTCGTGTAAGTAAACGGTCTCAGTGAATTTATTTGATCAGACGTATCTTCCCGTGATGAGTTCTCAGAATTTCTTTTCATTCGAGTCCCTAAAACTTTTTTATGTATTTTATTAAACATTTTAGATATATCCTTATACATACTACATATATTCATATTTTTAATGTCTAAAAATCTGCCTACTTTCCATTTCCCCCATTCTACGAATTTCTTGCTCGAACAATTCCTCGTCTAATATTGGCCATTCCCTTATTTTTCCTCTGTTGAATAATTTTCCGAACTGTCTCCTATCTAGAAAAGCATAACCATGTATATCAAGCATTTTATTCTGCAATGCTGTGAGGCTTTAAGAAAGAGAATGTAAATTTTTTGTTCCATATCATCTACTTGTTCTGTATAGCCTTCCACCGCCTTTCCAAAAGCTCCAATTTTACCAAAGCCGGATATAGTTCATCTTCAATCATCTTAGCTTTTGTTTCAATTTCGACAATTAATTTGTCCAAAACACCGGATACCCCCGACAATTCAATGAATTTGTCGAGAAGTTCAACAAGTTCTTCCTCGTTGCTCGAAGCATACTATTTTAGTTTAAATTTATTATTCTTAAATTTTAAAATTACCCCAAATAATGTTGGTAGCGATAAAATCCCTTCATTTTGAAAACTCAACAATGTTGGAGAGAGAAATCCATTCATGTTTATTTTATCATTATTCTTCAAGTTTTGATTTGGAAATAACGAAAAAAGTTTTGGAGATAATATCGGCAATGCTTCGAATGAATAATTAGAAAGAAGATTTTGCAATTCCAAATCCAACGATTCAAGTTTTGAACTATCCATCAAAAATCGAAAAGATTGCGAATCAACTGGATTTTGTGTCTGTGTAGAAATAATATCCTCAAGAAAACTTTAAAAACAATTATAAATATTTTTAATTTAAAATTTTCAAAGTAACCGAGAATTAGCCTCTCCCATTCTCTCCAAATGTTTTTTACAAAATTCATATTTTTCTAAGAAGCGTTGAACACGCCGAAGTTTTTCAATATTATGGGTATTGTTAATATTGCCCTTCTTTTCTGTATTTCTAAAAATTAAAGATTTTTTCCAAAAAGTTTAGATTTAATTTGCATAACTATAATAGGTAATTTATTTATGAAAATAATATTGTTTTTAAATATAAAATTGACCGTCTCCGTCTCATTGTATTAAGATTTACGGAAGCTAAAGTCGACGGCTCTTTACGATTTATTTTGTTATTTCTCCTCGATTTTGTACGATGAAAGTTTTGTTGTTGTATTAGAGATCGAGATTTTCTCTGAAATAGTCAAAATAACGAGGTAAAAATTAGTAAAGATTGAGTAAAGTTAGTTGCAACTTAGTGAAAATTAGTTATAATTTAATAAAAATTAGTAAATACTCACCATAACCTTGCGCATCCTTAACGTCTTAACTATTTGTTCGAATCGCCCCGCTTTAACATTCGTTTTATCTTTACTAAACATAGTTTTCCCATTAATTCCAATACTTTCTAATCCATGAATTAGCCATGAACCAATCTGCCCAACTAATCCTCGTTCTTCTTTGGCTGAAACAGTTCTAGTAATTCTAACTTCATTTTCAATATTATTTATTTCTTTTGTAATTCTTTTGTTTCCTTTTTCCTTTAATAATGGGACAATACACCTCGCTAATTGTGCTGCTGTTGTGGCTATATATTTAAGGGATGATTTATATTTAATTAGATTTAATACTTCCTAGAAAAGGATTATTTTAAATGGACTAACATAAGTATATAATATTTACTAAAAAATCAGTAAAAACCACCTTCCTCCTCACATTGTTCGTACAGTTTCTTCTCCGCATAAAGAAAATTTGGCAAAGAGAGTAGTGAGTGGGCCTTACTCTAATAAATATAATTTAAAATCAGATAAGTAAAGGATTATTATTTTAGCTTTGATCTAATAACAATTTTTCTTTTTACCTTTAACAAGCTAAAAATAGCAACATTGTAAAGGAGCAAGTCTAGCTTTTCAGGATTTAATTCTAACTTGCTGGTAGCAATTCGTTGTTGTTCACCCAGTTCATTCTTTTTTTGTATTGTTGTAGTGATTTTTGTGAAGGTTTTGTTAATTTTTGCCCAACACTCTCGACAATATAAATTCAATGTGAACAAGATGACAATAATAACTAGTATAGAATAATTTTCATAAGAATAATTCATTGTTGTTAAATTTTATAATTTTTATGGTTAAAATAATTATAATTCATTTACCTAGATAAAGGTAAAATTGATAATGAGAATTTTTTCAGGATTTTTTCAGGTCAATTATTTAAAATTCCGAGGGAAATTATGACAAAAAATACATCTAACAATAAGTGTTATTATAATGAATTACATTTTTTGTATATAGATTTGGCATTAAATAATTATTTATTTGAATGAATGAACTAAACAACCTGTGATTAACCCCATCGCTATTACCGCTTAAAACTTCGATAATACTTATATATCCAGTTTTACCGGTATTTAAATGGAAAAGGAAATTTTTTGTTAAAAACGGTGAAAGTGTAATCCTGTGTCAACAAGACGCAACACCCAACTAAAATTATATACATACATAATTTTAATCTAAAAAAATAAAATTTAACAAAGAAATTTTTATTAAATTACAGCAAATTTTAATGGCAATTTTACTTGCTAAAATTACACTCAAGAAAATCTAGGAATCTTTTTCAATAAATGTAAATGTTTAATGCTAGATAATATTCATTAATTTACTTTCTACCCTTACATACATATGTATATTTTAGCTAAAACAAATTAAAGAAATTTGGTCTCGATATATGTAGACCTGAATTATGTATAAACTAAAAAGTCAACAAAACATAAATATTTATATATCCGCATTTTTAGTTCAATCTTTTAATGAAAAATATTTTTAAATGTCTGTTTTAATGAGATTATCGTTTATATTATTTTTATTGTTCACAGCTTTGAAAATTTTATTTTTTTATTAAACGCGTGTCATTATTATAAGCTAACAAGCTTTAACATATAAATAAATGTATAGGATTTCAAACTTATACCAGAATTAAAGTATATCTATTATTTTGTAAAAGTGCTAAATGAGGTTACCAATAATTTTTAGAGAATTGATCAAAACGTTTATTTTTGCATTACAGTTTTTAAATAATTAATTTAATTTTTAGTAGATTAATTAAAAATCTTATTTAATGTTTTCTTTCATTTCTCTAAGTTGTGTCAAATTTCAAATATTGTGTTCAATCTCGACGCTTCAAAACAGCCTTTGCATGGCTTAATTGAATAAATCCATGTTTTCCATGATAATTTCCGATGCCGCTATTTCCAACACCGCCAAAAGGCAAATCTGGAATCCCCGCGTGCTTAATTATATCGTTAACAGTGACGCCCCCGCTGGATGTGCTATGCAAGAATTTTTCCATTTTCTTATCATTCTCTGTGAATAAATATGCACCAAGAGGCTAAAAAAGAATTAATAGGGATCTTAACGAATTTTTATTTATTAATTTCTAGAAAACATTTTTCTTAAATTTGTACCTTCTCTCCATCATTAATTATGTCAATAGCCTCGTCCATGTTTTTTACTGTTAAAATAGGAAGAACTGGGCCAAAAATTTCGTCTTGCATTAGAGAATCTTTTATATCAGCTTCAACGATTGTCTGATTTTTATATTTTATTAAGCAAATGCTTTTTCATTCAATGAAACTCACCGGTGGAATAAAAACATCGGCCCGATCGTGTTTACCAACTTGATGAATAACCTTCCCTTTGCTAGCTTTCATCATTTCCATGACCCGATCAAAATGACGCTGATTGACCATTCGAGAATAATGAACACTTTTTTGTGGGTCAGAACCGTACATTTTGTTGATGGATTTTTGCAACGCTTCAACCAATTTTGGCTTAGTTTCAGGTGTGGTCATTATATAATCAGGCGCCAGACATGTTTGTCCACTATTAAGCCATTTGCCTTCAGTAATGCGTTGAGCGGCTTTTTCAATATCAGCATCGTTCTCAACAATAACGGGACTAAAAAGTGCTTTATTTAACTTGGAAGTTTTTTGATTAAAATAATTTTCTCTCTACTAACCACTTCCCACCCAATTCAAGCGTAACAGGAGTCAGATATTTAGCCGCAGCTTGCATTATTATTTTTCCAATATTGGGGCTACCAGTGTAGAAAATATGATCAAAACGTTCATTCAGTACTTCTTTTGTCTCCTCCGCACCCCCTTCGACTACGGCAATAAAGTTCTAGAAAACGAGAGATTTTTTAAACTTGAAAGATCTTCCCATCTAAAGTTAAAAAATTCTAAGAACCTTTGGAAATGTTTTATCAAAAAGCTCCTTCATCAAATGAGAAGAGTTTGCCGATACCTTTAGAAAATTTTCAATAAAAATTATATAATTTTAGAACAGTTCAATACCTCCGAAGGTTTGATAACAACTGTATTGCCTAATTTAATAAAAAAAATTTTAATATGTTAATTTTAAAAAGAAATTCTTTTCCAAAATGTCCAACATACCAGCAGTTATTGCTTCAGCAGCAGGTTGAATTACCAACATAACAGGATAATTCCAAGCCCCAATTACTAACACAACTCCTTTTGGCTCATAATGAATTTCTGGTTCTCCAAGTTTATTGGTAGGAGCCTTTTTAAATATTTATTTATTTTATTTTAACTGATGAGAATTTACTTTATGAGGTTTTGCCCATTCATCGATATTTTGAAGACACAAGTCTATAGTTGCTTTTGAGCCTCCAACTTCCATTTCCTTATTTAATTCCTTGTTGCGGCGCAAATCTTTATAGACTGCTTCAACTATGCGATCAACATTATTTTCAATCATAACACGCAACTTTTGAAGTTGTTCTTTACGAAACGCTAAAGATTTAGTAGCGCCTGTTCTAAAGAATTTTCGCTGATTGGCGACAATCTATTTTTAATTTTATGAAAATTTATATGTTTTTGTGTAATTTATTCACCTCAGCTATATTTGTTGCCATAATTGAATTAGTAAAAAGTTAGGTTTTTCTAATTTAATTCTATAATAGTAAATTTAATTTTAAATTAATTTTAAATTAAAACTCCGATAATTAATATAAATAAAAATAAAGTTAAAGATTACAAAATTTTCTTCATAAATAATATAAAATTAGTGGTGAAAGAGATTGATAGGGGAGTAATCATTTTTGACAGATTACTCTGTAAATCAAGAATATGTATTCGATTTTAATTAGAAAATAGGAAAAAATTTTTGCGAGTTTAAAAGATAATTCTTCATATTTACTTAAAAATATTTGAGAAGAAATAAATAAGAAAATGGCCTTGAATGGAGATGAAATTATTATTTATATACACATAAATATTATCAGAAATATAGTTTGTTATTAATTACTCCATTAGATAATTTATTTTCTTGTCAGCAAAACAAATAACAAAATAAAATTTTTGTTGAAGTTTGTGGGGGGTTTATACTTTATTTTTGCTGATACAAATATGTATGTATAAGATGTTTCCATAGAGATCAACATAATTGAGAAATAAATATTAGTTGAGACAATAAAAAAGAAAACTTTTAAGTAAAATTTAATTTCCTTGTCAGATTTTAATAATTTATTTTAATGTCAGCACAAAATAAGAATATATTTATTTTGTGTTCAGCTGGCAAAACTGAATAAAATAAGTGCACATTTGATGTCAGCATAATTAAGAACAAGAGAAAAAAGACAGGGAAATGAGAACGGATGAAAACGGTTTCAGTTTTGACTTTATACATATTTATAAGAGGGGCTGAAACGAGGTGGGACTAAAACTGAAAAGCTGAAACTGAAATGTGTGAACTTAAATGTGTATTGTATCGACACTTGATCGGAAGTTAAAAAATACAAATTTGACTTTTCTTTAGATTATTTAAAAAATATTTATTTAAAAATATAGAACAATTATGTGAATATAAAATTACAATTCAAAAAATATTCGAAAAAACCTAAATAAAACATCAAAATTTTTAATTAAAAATTTATGTAAATAGTTTTTCTAACGAAAATTAAAGGCAACAAAAAATATATAACAATTTATTTAATTAAATTATTTAATTTCAATTCGTTTTAATTCTTCAGAAAAATTTTGCCAAGGCCATATTGATTTAATTTGTTCAGTTAAATCAATTAAATCTGATTTTGGATTATTTCCTTTAAATAAATTAAATATTTAATTTTTCTCCAATTTTGTATACCTTCAATAACAGCCTTACGTAAATAAGGAACTAATTTATCATTCCAAAGACGAATAAACCATTCTTTGGCTTGATCTCCATCTAATGGACATTGCAATAATATTCTAGGCCCTAAAGTAACATTAGAGCCTCCATTGGCTGTTCTCTCAATAAATTCATTAATTAAATAGAGAGAACGATTTAGAAAGTCAATCAAAGAATCCAAAGAAGTTAATGATAAGGAGGAAGATGGGAGGGATGTAGTAATTGAAGATAATGTTTGTTCAGCCATTCTACGACGTAAATATCGTCCAAGATATCCTAAATAAAAAATAATTTAAAGTGAGTCTCTAAAATTGATGGGAGTCTCTGATGCCTTGAAAATTAAAAAAATGTTTGTAACGGCCGGGAATCAAAAATTCATTGGAACGATAAAATTATGAGTTATTAGAGACATAAATGAAAGCCTCTCCAATGTATTATTCGTTTAATAAAAATTTATTTAGCTCAAATTAGCAGAAAGAAAAATATATGTATGTAACGCTTGAATATCAACAGAAACTAGTTTTAAAGAAACAAAAATATATTAGATAAAATAGTAAAAATAATTAATCCTCATGTAGCAACGGTGGTTCAGTGGTAGAATGCTCGCCTGCCACGCGGGCGGCCCGGGTTCGATTCCCGGCCGTTGCAAATATTTTTTAATTTTTTAAATTATGAAATTAACATAAATTTTTTTCTTTTCTATTTCAAAATCTAAACAAACCATTAACAGCTTCCATTTTTTGATTTAGCGGGCAAAGATGGAAATTATGATGAATTTGTAATTTTTGTATAATTAATTGTTCAGTTAAATTAGTTCTATTAAGTGTGCAAATAATAAAAGGTTTATTATTTGATGATTTATTTTTTAAATCAAAAGATTGAAAAACATCAAAAACAATTCCATTTAAATATTTTAAAGGTAAATTATCTAATAAAATAAATGGTGAAAATAAATTATTTTGTTGGGAATTTAATGAAGTTAATAATTGCTCCTTTGCCTTTAAAAAATAAAAATTTAAATTTTTAATTTAGAAAAAAATGCCTGTTGGATTTTCGATTCATTTTCTATCAAATTATTATTTTCTGTAGGAAAATGTATTTCAATTAAAGATTTATTATTTAATTCTATATTAAATTTCATTAAATAATATTTTGCAATTAAACGAGCCAAATTAGATTTTCCAATTCCGGCAGTTCCAAAAAGAATTAAACGGCGATATTTCTCTAATTGGTCAAGTAATTGTTCAAGTAAATTTCTTGGAAATAAACTTTCAAGAACTAATGAGTCTACTGAATGTTGTGCTACTCCTTTAAATATTTTATTTTAAGGTTAGAATAAATTAAAATTCCACCTATGTATTTATGATTTTTAATTAATTCTAGCAAATAAATAATAGTTGACAGTTCAAGGAAGGAGCCCTGGTTAGAGGAAATACCCTAGCTATCAATAAATTTAAAAAATTTCGGAAAAATCCGTCTGAGCATTTTTGTTAAAAAGAATACTAGTAAAATATTGGGCATAAAATTGGGTATTACCCAAGGCGATTTCATTTTAATTTAATAGAAGCTACCTCTCAATCTCAGTCTAATTAAAGTTCCTGGCAGTAAAACTTCTTCTGGAGATAATTTTGGAGTTAATTCTTCTGTTTCATTATTTTTTATATTTAAATATTCATCAACTGAATTTCTTTTACGAATTAACCATTCATTAGGTAATCCCAAAGAATTTTTCGGAATTATTTGATAACCAATAATACTCGAATAAGAGTCAACACCCAATGACAAATCTGGATCTATTCGGTCTTTAAATTTTAAATTAATTTAATTAATTTAAATTTTTTAATAGACTAACGAAGATATTCTTCTAATAAAAGCCCTAATTGTTGGTCTAAATCATTCCAATTAATTCCCTCAGCCAAAGGAAGATTTAAATGCCCAATTGAAAGTTCTCTACGTTTATTTCCACATCCACTTAAAGCACTTCCAAGAGAAGAAAGTGTTGAAGAAGAACCAGAACTTGCACGAGAAATTGAGGTTAAAGAACAAGAAGAAGAAGGAGGAGGTAGAGCTGATGCATTAGTGGAAGAATCTATATTTAAACGTCCACTCATATCGACACATAAAACAACTTTAATAAATTGTTGAAGTTGTTGGTTTGCTAAAAAAAAAGTTTGGATAAAAATTGCTTTAGAATATAATTAAATAAATTGTTAATTGGACCCCTTATTTGGTCAGAATTAATAGGAGCATGATAAAAATTATGTCAAAATTATAAAAAATATTCCCAGAAATTTTCAATAAAATTTTTTTCCGGCCCTATATTTTAATAAAAAATTATTTAATTACATTTTGAAATATTAGACCCAATACTAGTTCTCTGACTTTTATTACTACGTGCTTCTAAACTACTTCCCGTCGTTGTTGTATTCACAGAAAAATCTCCACTAGAAGGAGAAGAGGCAACAATATCATATAAAGGTAAATTAGAATGTTCAGGTACTTCTAATAATTGGTTAGCTGCCTAAAAATTTAATTTATATTAATCAGATTTAAAAAATTCTATTTTACTTCTTCCAAAGCATCTACATCCAAATCCCCTCCTCCACAATCTGGAGGACCACCAGAACATAAATTTGTATTCAAAGATATATGAGAACTTGCTCTTGATTCAGAACGAACACGACGTTCAAGTAGAGAAAAATTGTATTTTAACATTCGATTTTCATGCTAAAAATAATTTTAAAAAATAATTTTTAAAAATATTTGACAAGAAATGTTGTTCCAATAATAGGAAAAGTTGTTGAGTGTTCCCCGTTACTTCCCCGTAGTTGAACAACCTTCCCAAGTGAATGAAAACCTTCCTCGTATTCGGTATAACCTTTCATGCTTTAATAAACATCACTCGCGCATAAAAGACCCGAACCCCATTGGACCGAGTTATGGTAAAACCGAGTTTTATTCAGAGACAATTGGTGGGATCTAGTTTTGTCCGACCGAGTTATGTCTGGATCGAGTTTCTGAAGACCGACTTTTGCCCCTCAACCATATAAAAATTATAAATTAAAAATACTTGTAATTTATTAACAGTTTCTCTCAAAATATCAATTTCTTTAGCCTTATCAAGAGCATCTAATTGGACATCAGTTAATGCCAATTCTTTATTTTCTAATTCTTTTTTTAAAGAATTAACATAAAAAGGTTGTTCATTTCTTTAAATTAGAAAAGAAATAATTTTAAAAAAAAAATTATTTTTTTAAATTTACTTTTTCCCATTTTCCTCGTTTATTTTTTGTTGTTTTTCTTCTTCATTTATTTGTTGTTGTGTTTGTTTGTTCTTTTTGCTACTTCCTTTTTGAAAAGCGCGAGTAAAAGAACTTCGAATCTAAAATAATAATTTGTTAGAAATTTAAGAAAAAACTTTAGAATAGAAATATAAACACAGACAAATAGTATGAAGGTGGCAATAATTTATAGAGAAGATTTTTAAATAAGCGGTTTTTAGCAAAAGGTATAGGGATTTTCTTTTGATATGTCAGCGAAAATCATTAAGAATTCGATAAGAAATTTCCAATAAAAAGTCAGGAATTTAAAAACCAATTCAATTAAAAACAGACCTATGCACGGATACGGATAATATCCTGATACGGATTTCAAAATCCGTGTCCATGCACAGGTCTGATTAAAAATATAATAAAGGACAACCACAAAGACTATAACTACTAAATATTTACACTATACATTGCCACTAACCTGATTATCTACAACTACATTAGATTTCTAAATTTTTTAAATTATTTTTATTTTTGTAATAGAATACATTTTTAATTCAAAAATTATTTTTTAATTAAAAATTTTACCCATCCAGCTTTTTTCCCTCCTCCATCTGTTTGTTCCCCTCTTCCAACAGAGGATGATTTTTCATTTATTATTTTTATATTTTTTTCTTTTTCAATTTCTTTATTATCAGAAGGTGGTGGTAAAGAATTATTATTATTTTCTTTTTTAATTAAATTTAATTGTTGTTGTTCTTTAGGTACAACACCGGCACTAATACTTAATGAACGTAAATGCTCAATTTCCCGACATAATCTTTCAACCTCATTTCTCTTTAAAAAATTAAAAAAAATAATTTTTAAGTAAGTCTATATTTAATCGCATTATCGCCCGCATTTTTAATTTTCTGCTATTTCTCTTCACCTATTTTTATTTATTGTCTAGTTATAGGGTTGTTGACGAGAACTGAACCGAGGATACGTCTTCGAAATTCGGTTCCGGATAGCCAAAAATTTAGTGGATATCTGTCATTAATTTTGTTTCTTCTGATTCCCGTTCTTGGACTAAACTTCAATTTAAATTTTCTTTTTGTTTCCTGATATCCGAAGAATTTCTTTCAGATAACATTATACACCTTTGACCATTTTCAGAAAACAAAACAAGTTGGGAAATGGCAAAAAAAATAAAAATGCGAGCCGATAATTCGAAAGTACTATATCTACCTTAACATGTCTTTTTTGTTGTAATTTAGACAAACTCAACATAATTGTTTGTAATTTCGAATCAAATATTTGTAACATACAGTTATATCCACTATGTCTTTGATTGAGTAAAGAAACTGTTGTTCTATAAGATTCTAATTCATTTTGAAGTTTATTAACTTCCCACTCATAACGTTCTTCTATCTACAAAAATTAATTTTTAAAAATTCCTAAAATTAATTAATTTACAGTATTTGTATAAGCAGAACCAAGAGAAGAAACTAAAGAAAGTTGTGAGCCTGGTTGTTGAATAATTTCATCTGAAGAAATTAATTGAATTTTGTTGGGGGAATTTAAACAACTATTATTTGCAGAAGAAAACTTTTGTTGTCCATTATTGTTTTGGAGGTTTGAATAAATACGTGATGAACCTAGAAAATGTTAAGATATTTAAATATTTTATTGAAAATGGAAAAAGGGGGAATGAATAATAATTTTTAAAAATATTTTTTAAGAATCGAACAAAGCGTTTAAAAAATAAAAAATATTTTTGGAAATTAACTAAAAAATAAATTAAAGCAAATAAAAAAAGGAAAGAGCATATATTTGCGGATGAAAAATATTTAATTAAAGGTATTGAAGTTGTGGTCAAAATATGACATAAATAATTATTAGGGTTTCTCCGGAACCGAAACTTTGATCGGAACCGGATCCAATTTGAGTTCCGGATTTCGGATTCCTGAACCGCAATTTTTTTGGTTCCGGCCGGAACCGGAACCAAGAAACGCCGGGACTTTCCGGAACCGAAACCTCCGCTGAAACTCTAATAATTATCCCTCAATAAATAACCAAAGTTTTTTCAAAAAAAAGTATCCGCAAATATCAGACAACCAAATAAAAAAGCATATGCATATTTAAAAAAGCTAAAATTATTACCATCATTTTTAGGCAAAGAAAGAGGTACTCTTTGTAAAAAATTAGGGGATATTCCTGTCCTTCTTGGGGGAGGTAAAGGTATTTGTTGTTGTCTTTTAATATTTCTTTTATTTTGTAAATTAATTAATTGTTGAATATATTCAATTACTCTACTTTCTCTATTATTTTCTAAATAATTTATTAAATTATTTCTTTCATTCATTTTTTGTTGTTGTTCGTTAATTTGTTTTGTATCATTAACAACAGTTACCATTGAACGGGACATTGCTGAAAGAGAAGCTGAACGTTTATTTGAAATATTATTTTCCTCTTCAAAAATTGCACAGGAACGTGCTGAACTTTGTGGACGATAATTTTGATTTAAATTGTTGTTTTGATGAAATTGAACTTAAAAAATAAACAAAAGATAAGCTTTGAAAGCAAAAGCAAAGAAAAACAAAAGAAAAAGCTTTTTAGTTATAGGTTAATTTTTATAAAATAAATATAAGGGTTAGTAGTTATTATGGATAAATTAAAAAAATAATTTAACGAACTCGTGACAAAATATCTACTTAGTTAAGTTTAGATATACTATTTACCCCTTACCCCCTTTCTCCCCTCCTCTTTGGCCAATAAAATTTTAGAAAATATTTATTTAATGGTACATTATATACCATTATAAAGAGCGTTTCAAGGTGAATCGAAAGCACCAAAATCATGCAGCATAATTTTTAAGCCCTTCACAAGTGGAAGTCAAAATGAGGGTGGATCAAAAAATTATTAAACATTCAAGTTATGAGGGAGAGAGCGTAAGAGGGAGTAAAAGGTATAATTTCTATCAAGTTTATTTAAAATACCTACCATTATTTGACCCAATTTTCTTATCTTGTTGTATCATTTGATTATTTGGAGTAGATGCAAAAGTAGAAGATGGATAGGCAAAATGTCTTGGACTTATTAATAAAGAATTAAATTGATTATTATTTGATGGAAATTGTTTGGATTGGTTACTTGATGTTGTTGTTAATTTAATATTTCCATTACGTATTGGATTATTATTGATAACCCCATTATGTATTGGAGGGATTCTTGGCTGTTGAAATATACGTAAATGTGCATGACGGTCTAATGAATGGGTGTGATAAGCCGGGTGACGAATTGGAGAATCTTCAGAAAAAAAATTTTGATGATAAAAAATTTAAAAAGCTTGAAAATTTTAATACATTCTAAAATTTTTAATTTTGGCTTCAATATAAAAATAATTTACAAATTTACAACCTTAATTTTAAAATTACCATTAATATTTTCTCCGATTTCTTGTCCGTTTACTTGATGACGTCGCCCAAATGCAGAAGAACGCATATTCCCCAACATTTGTTGTTGACCACCTATTTCACCAGCAGCAACACTCAACGTATCACCATCATCACTTAGAGCCATTAAATGGTGGGGAGGGGAAAGAATACGACGTTGCTAAATTTTTGGGAGAAAATTAAAAATATTTTGAAAGATTTTAACTAGGTAAAATTCTTTAGCTAAATCAGTATTTCAGAAAAAAAGTATCTAAAATTACTTGATTTCGTTGTTGTTGTATTTGTTGAAAATTAGCAGAAGTAAATGTATGGTAAGCACGGAAATGGGAAGTTTGTGATGTGGAAGACTGAGGGGAATATTCTTCAAAAGCTCCTCCAGAATATTGAGGAGGTTGAGCATAAAAATTGATATTTGTTGATTCCTTTGGATCTGTCCATTGTGTTCCAGAATTGTTTACAGAATTACGCAAAAGGATATGACCACCATCGCTCGAAGAAAAATGTTGCTAAAAAATATATTAATTAAAAATAGATTTTGAATAATTTTTCTGGAAATGGTTTTTGATAAATTGTAAGTTCTGATTTAACCCCCAAAAAACTCTGAATTTGACCAAGTCCTATTTATGAGTATAAAATTTTATTAAAAAAATATTTTTAAAGTAAAGGAATGCTTATTTTGACACTTTTGGACAAGAAATGAGTAAAAATAAAATCTTAAAATGGCCAATTTCTCCAGTTAGTATGTAGTTGGCCTACCCAAAACTCATTGGAATAAAGGAAGAAGACACTTTAATTCTTTCCCCCTTCCCCCCATTTTTCTATATTTTAGTGTTTCTTTTTTTTCAACTGAAACGACAAATTAGCCTTTTACATTTAAAGCTATGGATATAAAAATTTTGATGAGAAAGCAGTTGAAAAATGCAAATGAGCTCTTTCCGAGAAAATACTTTTTTTCAAATTTTATTTTGTTTATGTCCATCTTCCCTTTTTTTCTTTTAATATTTTGAGTAATTCTTTTTTTTCTTATATTTTTGCCAAATTTAAAAAGAATTTCTTTGCTCTCGCGCCCTCCCTTTTTTTTGGCAATTTTTTGACAATTTCTTTGAGGCTTTATTCTTTCATTCCTTCGCGCTTTTTTGTCAATTTATTTCAAATAAATTTAAAAACCCCAAATATTATTTCATAAAACACTCCAAATTTTGCAATTTTTTATTTTCTTTCTTTACAACTTTTATAAAATCCCTTCATTTATTTGGTTAAATTAATCTATCAAAATGTCAAAAAATAACCAATTCCGGAGGGGACAAAATAAGTGGGTAGCAAAGATTACTTTTTTAAACCCAAAAATAATGCAAATTTAAAGAAATTGCTTATCTTATTCAAAAAATCTTTTATTTTTTAATTTTTATTTTTAATAGATTAGCTAAGCTATTTTGTAATTAGTACTAAAATTAATACTAAAAAGTTATCTGGGGGTTTCAATTTCAATTTTATTATTTTTTACATTTAATTAATTTTTGATAGAAAATTTTTTTATATTTTAGTAGATTAGTCAACTAAAATGATTGGATAGTGAAAAATGAAATCATTGAAATTATAGAAAATTAGGTATTATAAAACTATCAAAAAATATTAAATATAAAAAGCTAAAATTTTAGTTAAAATTAATTTATAATTTTTTAAATTTAATAAAATTATAAATTAAAGCAATTTAAAATAAAATAAGAAGAAATTTATTTTTAATAGAAAATATTTAAAGAAAATACTTAAAAACTCACAACATTATTCCCGCTACAAGATGTTGAAGGTCTTGTAATATCAGAAGTTGTAGCAACACTATAACGATTATTGTTGTTTTGTTGCTGCCATTGTTGAGGATTTGTTGGCATTTTTTGTTGTTGAATCCATTTATTCGAAACAGGCATTCCAGTCCCTAAAGGTCCCATTAAATTTGAAGGAGAACCTCTGAAAAAATTAAAAATGAAAAAAATGTTAGGGTAGCTTTACCTATTTTGGATTGAACGCATTTTTGGTGGTTGGAGAAATTGTTGCTGTCTTTGAGGGGGATGGGGAGCTCGAAACCCAATAAATTCCATATTTGGATGTTTTTCTGGAGAATTTTGATCGCCTGAAGAACTTGCAGTAGTTAAATCAGAAGTAGAGACTTGGTAATCGTCTAATGGTTCGGAAAAGGCACTGGAAAGGGACGAACATGAACTGGCTGCATAACTAGAAATTTAATTAATAAATTAAATTAAAATTTAAAAAGTATGGCCAGAACTAATAAAAAAAGATGATTCATAATTTGATTTTTATATCTATTAAAAATAATATATAACATAATATTTATTATTAAAAACAAAAATTTAGTCAAAACCCTTTTAGTTAAATTATATATAGAAAAATTGTCAAATTGGCCAGAATAAAAATACTTTTTTTTAATATTGAGTGACCACACTCTCTCTCTTTTTAAAATAAAAATATCCACTCGTTGGCCAAGTCTCTCAATTATTTGACAATTTCCAGCTAACACCCCCCCCCCCCCATTATTTGCACCTTTAGTATGTTACTACCCGCGAAATTTATTCACTCATGCAGCTTTTAATGTAAATATTTTTATAGAATTAAATATATAAATTGTTTGTATTTAAAATTAAGCAACAATTCAAAAATGAAAAGAGAGAGAAGAGAAAAAATATTTTTTAATATTAAAAGTATTTTTGCAGTTTTGTAGTTATTTTAGAGAAAATCCTCAAAAGCATTGTTTAAAAAAAGCAATAAAAAGACCAAAAAACGATTAAAAAAGAAATAACCATACAAGTCTCCATGGGATAAAAAATACTTTAAACTTCAAGTGAATGGCACGGACAATCCCTTTATATGTTTTAAGTTGTTTATAATAATGACACATACTCAAGAAATTGAAAATTGAAGAAAGTTAAACATTAAAAATTCTTGGGATTTTAAATAAATATATTTTTGAATAAAGTAAAGGGATAAAATGAGATGTATGGAAGATAGAAGACGGAGATGATCTTTTTGGGGTCAAAATATTATCAAACCAATAGGTATTGGATACTATTTTGCAGGCTTGGTAATGGATACGGATATGGATATAGATAAGTTAAGAATGCCTGCGGATATCCGTCTGTATCCGCCGTAAATATCAAATACCAAAATCCATGTCCACTACCAAGTCTGCTAGTTTAATTATCATTTTATATTTTGGAACCAAAATAATTAAACAGAAATGTGTCTAAAAATGCTTGCAACATTTTAAAAATATTACCTAAATATATCTAAATCAAACAAATCTTAAAATTGTTCAAGAAAGTAAAAAGTATAATAATAATCATCTTATTGTCAAGCAAATTCATATTCGTTAAAAATAAACGAAAATAACAAAATCTCTCATATCGGTGTATTAATTAAACATATAAAGACGTTGGTAGGTGGTCCATAAATTATTTTAAAAATATATAATATAGGATTATTATTTTTGTTGCAGCTGTTAAAGAACATAAATAAAGCCAAACACAAAAGAATAAAGAGCGCGAATTTCGATGGAGATTTTGGGATTTAATTCTGTCGCCTGCTGACAGAATTAAATCCTTTGAGGGAAGGCAGAAAAGGTTAATAGTAAAAGAGGTAAAGGACGGAAGAAAATGAAATTGAGAGGTAAAAAGAAGATCGGATGACTAAACAAAAATATATTTAAAAAGGTGCCAGATTCCCTTAAAAGCGGTGACTGAAAAGAAAATTTAGAAGAAAGAATACACTCGAATATATAAAAATGTTTAAATTTAAATTAAATTTTTTATACAAAAACTTTATTAAATTAATTTAAAATTAATTTAAGAATAAGTCGTTAAGATTAAATAAGATATTGCTAAATATTGTCAAAATAAAAATAATTGCAACATCTAAAGATAAACATATGTTAAGTGAAGGAAATGTAATGAATACAAAAAACAAGTCCAAGAGTTGTTGGAAAAGAAGAAACAAATGTGCGGATGTTTTTTATAAATATAAATCTTGTAATTAAAAGATAAAAGAAGAAAAAAGGAAATGTCTCAAGATGTTTGCAAAACAAATTAAGAACATAAAAATATAAAAAAATATTTTAAATTTTAATTAAGATACATTTTAAATATTTAGGAGTTTTAAATTAAACTAAAAAAATTGGGAGGAATTTTGAAATTTACAAATATATACTAACAATTTTTGGTTGAAAAAATCCGCGCAGCAGATGTGACAGTAAAAGCAACAAAAAATGTAAAATATATTTAAAAATTGATTGGCCTTGGATGTTTTGAATTTGCAGGGAATTGAGGGAAAATTTGAAGGTAAAAAAGAAAGGATTTGTCGAATAATTTATTTTTGGTTTAATTTATTTTTTTTATTTTTTGTACAAAAACTTTGTTCTCAATTTTAGGAAGGAAATTAAAAAATAATTTTCTTAATATAAAGGTTCACATTCAAATATTTTAATCAAAAAATTGTAAAAAAATTAAATGGAAAAAAGTTGAAAGTTTGGAATTAATTAATAAATAAAATACTTTCTTGAAAGAAAGTATTAAATCAAAATAAAAAAGGAAAAGTTGACTAAAGTTATAATCTAACCCAATGTATATAATAATAATTGTGATAACCGCATAATTGTGATAAATATAAATATAAATCTTGTAATTAAACTGTAATTCATCAATTCGAAAAAAAACTACAATTCATCAATTCGAGGCTATTCCCCAAAAATCTAGCCGGAACTAAGAGTGAGTTAATCCTCTATAAAGGATTAACTCCCACTTATATTTACCATTCACTCAAATGGAGTTATAACGGAAATCAACTTTATACGGATTAAACTAAGTAAATATATATGGTCATTCTCGCATATTTTACTTTTAGGGTTGGCTGAATAACCCAAAACAAAAGATCACCCAAATGGGGATATTCACTAAAAACCTTTATACTCTTCAAAATATTCCCGAGAGAATTGGGCGGTTTGTAAAGGTTATATAGCTATATCTGTTGGTGGTTGTGACGCCAAAAAGATGTGAATGCGAAGTGCTTCTGTTATAAAAAGGGCCAAAAAGTAAATTCTCGGGCCCCTGACCGCCATATTCCTTACTATTATTTTTTGAGAATGGCCAAGTAAACAAAACATTTGTTTTAAATCAGTAAAATTGAATAGACAAAAATCTGATAATAAAGCTTTTTCTTAATTTTAATATATTTTCTAAGATTTTGAATAAAATTGAACAATAAATACAAGAAAAGATTTTAGAGGTTCTCGGCTAATTCTTACTAATTCGAATATCAAAATACTAAATATAAATTAAAGTTCATCTCCGGTCTCGAATTTGGGTGTGACCAGTTTTTTACTAAAGTTGATTTCCGAGATACTCGATTTTTACTTACTGAAATAACAAACAAAATTTTTCCGCGGTTTTTGATGAACTCTAAAATTAATTAGTTTTGATTCTTTTAATGACTGATCCTTTTATAAATACATAAAGTCTTTTTGTTAATTATTAAATGTCAACTTAATAATTCATTAAATTGCCCCTTAAAAGCTAATTAAAAGGAAATAATTAATAATTTAGTACATAATTTTTATAAGAAAAAACAATTTTGTTATATAAATTGGCTTAGCTAAAGGAGGGTGGTCAAGAGATTTAAGAGAAGAAATGGACAATAAATAAATACTAGATAGGTTTTTTAGAGGAAAGAAAAATCGCCAAAGATTTTTTCCGGTCATTAAAATAGTAAATGTGAAGAAAAATGCTGTTTAGACTAAGGCCAAAAAACGAAAAAAAAGCCATTTTGGTATTTCACTTCTGGAGGCAATTAATGACCAAAAAATAAAGAAAAGGAAGAAGATATTTAATAATTGAGAGGAAATAAGCGGATAGAAAAGATTTGGAAGGTTATTTATTTTTTTTATAATTTTTTAGAGTAAATCAGGAAAAAAAGATGGAAAATTAATTGCAAAAAATAGTAAAAGTAAATTACTACTATTTAATTAATTAAAAAATAAAATGTCTAATTTTTAATGGCAACTGTGTGGGGAAAAAGTTATTGGTCAAAAATAGAGAAAAATAATGTTAAAAAAGAATAATTTTTTAATAAAAAATTCAAAACGAAACTTACAAATTAATACAATCATCTTTAGCATAACGATAATTTTTAGTTCCGTCAGATTTAAGCATTGAAGAAATAGTTGTTGATGAATGTCTAGTAGAATTATTTGTAGTTGAGATTATTTTGCGTGGTTCTGATAGCCTTTCAATTACTTGTTTGTTGTTAATTAAACCTTAAAAATTTGTTAAAAAATAATTTTGAAAAATATTTTTTGAAAGCTTTCTTTTCATCAAAAAATATGTTTTGATGAAAAAAATTTAAATTTTTTATTCAATTTTAATTTAATAAACTTAAATTTAAAAAATATTTGAATTAAGAATTATTCGTATTTGTTCTCTAATAAAAACTGAAAAAATTTTTTTATAAGATTAGAAAATAAAAAATTAAAAACACAAAAATTATATAATTGATGTTATTATAATTTAATTGACAACTCTACCCTAATTTTAAAATTGGGGTAATTAGGGATTAAATAAAATTAATTTAAAAGTAAATTTGTTTACCAATTTGTTTATTACCTTTTTCTTTTGTTTGTTCATTTTCTCTTCTTTTCAATGTCAAAATTTCAGAATTTTCTTTAATTTCTCCACTTGTCCCAGGGATTGATTCTAATTGTTTTATTTTTTGTGGCATTTGTTGTTTTGGGGAATTATTTAATTCTTTATTTGGACAATGAATTGCTGTTCTAACAGAGTCTAACGAATCCTGACTTGTTGTGGAATCATTAGAAGCAGCAGTTATGGCCAAACGAAAATGTTGAATTTGTTGTTGATTTTGATGTAAATTCTTCGATAAAACTTCTTCCTCGTTTGGGGAAGAACTTGAAGAAGAAGAGGAAATACAAGGAAGGGCTAGAGAAATTTTTAAATTAATTTAGAGACTTTATTTGATAATAAAAAATAAAAGAAAAACAAAATTTATAAGCCGATCCTTGGCCTATTTACTATATTTATTTTCTCCCTTTTTTCTTCATTTAATTCATTTTGACTAGCCATAAACATAAGTAATGCAATTAGTAAGTACGCGGACAAGTGCCAATTTTGTGGCCAGTCGAGAAGTCGATATATTAAAAATAGAAAAAAGGAAAGGATAAAAATAGAAGGAAAATATATGCGCAAATAAATAATTAATATAATTCTTTTTTTAAATATTATATAATATTTGGAGGAAATATATTTTTTGTAAATTATAGCGGAAAAATATACTAATTTACTCTTTAATCGTTGAAATATTTTTTTCAAAATTTATTTATTTAAAAAATATTTTTATCTTCTCCAAAAATAAATAAATTATTCTGTTCATGCAAAGAATTGCGCGGATATATTAAATTAATAAAAAAAGGCAAGAGAATGAAAAATTGCATTTAAAGGAAAATGTTAATATTAATGAATGAATTGAGGATATATAAATGATAAATTTACTGAAAATGAAGAAAATATTTTTGAAAAATTAAGAGGAAATTTTAAGAATAAATAATTAAAATATTTTTTGTAATTATTAAAAAAATATTTTATTTAAATTAATATGTATAAGGAGATTTAGCCAAGATTTAAATAAGTTAAAATAAATTAATTAAAACTAAAAATTCAAAAATTAAAGAAAAATATTTTCTTCAAATATCCAAAACATTATAAATAAAAATAAACAAAATCAATTGCTAAATACAAAATTTTTTTATATATTTTTGTGTTTTGTTTATTTATATAAAGTTTTACAACATTTTTACAATAAATTTATTTTATTATTTAACTAGAAAATAACAAAAAATAAATACAGCCATTTTTCTTTTTAAAAAATATTTTTTGTTATATAGATATTTTTTGTCTCTTGCTCAGAAAATTAAGAAAAAATATTTAGATTAGGGTCAGACTATTAAATAATTTTTTAGCCTATTTATAACTGAAACAGCATGAATTTTCATTTTCTATTGATGCAAAAAAATATAAAAATGCGCAATATTTTTGAGAATTAAAATTGTAAAGTGATCCAGATATAGCCCGAAAGATATGTTTTTTAGTCTGATTTGACTCCCGATCTTATGTCTTAATTTCTTTCTGACCTCAGCAAAATTCGGCCCAAGAGGAGGCATTGTAAGTATATATTGAGGCATAAAATAAATGAATGGACACAATGTATTGTTCTATTTATTTTTTTAGTTAATTAGTAAATCTTAAAAATGTCTAGTTGGAGAAAATAAATTGATAGAATTAACGGAAAGAACACAAAAATGAAGAAGAAATGATTAAGAGCTGCGCCAGAAAAAAATAAAAAAAAGGGGATTTGAAGAGATTAACAAAATTTTGAACTAAATAGAAGATAATAAGAACTCAAGAGGGGGAAATGAAATAAATATATGTACATTGTAAATGAATATTTTATTTAAGAAAGGGGATGGGGGAGGGTGAGTGGACAAAAACAAACAAAAAAGTTTTTATTTAAATAATAATAGAATTTTATTTATAAAAAAGTTTTCTTGTAAAGGTCAAGTTTAATAAATAAATAGGTGAAATTTGTCTACATAATGAGGAAAATAATAGAAAAATGAGAGAGAGAAAAACAAACGGAACCTGTTTTATAAAATAAATATAAACTAATTTTTAATAATTCACATAATAATTATGTATAGCTATTTCTCCCTCAATAATTATTTTATATTAAAATAAAAAGAAAATTGGCAAAATTAACGAGCACAGAATAGAAAATAAAAATAAATTTTGAATAGAAATAGGTATGGTTATCGGTTTTAAAAAATTATTCGGATACCTAAAAGTAAATAGATAAAATTTTTAATTTTATAAAGCTAGGTTGTGAAAATTGGGATCTTTCTTGAAAAAGAGAATTTGTTGGATTTATAAAAGACCCAAATAAAAAAAACAATAGTAAATTAAAAAATTAAAATTTTCATTAAACTTGCCTTGTAATTCACCCCTCAATTGCACATTATTACATAATTTTGTTGGTGCTAGAGGTGGAGGCATTAAAGGAGATTGTGGGCATTCTTCTTCCTCTCTAATTATTTTTTCATTTCCTTTAGGTAAAATTTTAGTCGTTTTTGTCATTAAATTATTTTCTTTTGTTTTAATTTTCCCAATTTTTGTAGTCGATGTACTCGGTAATAATATTCTATTTAAATTTGAAGGTTTTTTTGTTAAAATTTTCTTTTCATCTTTTTTTGATAAATTTTCCTGATTATTAGTAGAGGTTGAGGTAGAAGAAGATTTTTGTTTATTATTTTTTTCTTCATTATTATTTACTAAAAAATATTAATTTTTAATTAAATATTCCTAAATATTTAAATACTTTTTTCTTTAAATTTGAGGGGCTCTTCCTTTTCTTCCATCAAAGAAATACCCATTGTATTATCAATTATTGTATCAACATTGTCCAACGTTCTGTTCTGATCATTATTTAATATAAAATTATTTTCATGTTTTTGTAACATTGGACTAACAACACCAACTGCCACATTTTCTCTATTTCTTTTTTGTTGTTCAACTAAAGAAGAATCTGCAGATATATTTTGATCTGTAGATGGTGACACTATATTTGTTGAACAATTAGAATTTGAGGGTCGACGTCGTTGGGTAGCTGGTGTTGTTGACAAAACAGATACGCCCTTAACTGCTAGCACCGGTTTCTTCTCCTTTAAATAAACAATTTGAATTTTAATTAGAACACAAGCAAAAATTTTAGTGTTTTATAGAAAAGAGAAGGAAAATTCACTTTTTTGGTAAAACAACTCAAATGTTTAACTTAAAAATCTTGATTAAGAAATTTTTTTAACCAAGACCATTATTCCCTAATAAAAATAATTTCAACTAGTATTCATGAAACATAACATGAATTAAATTTATCTACCAAAAATAGGCGGCGAAAATTGGCTGCGCCGAAATGTTCAAAATAAGCCTAAACCTATTGAAGCCTAAACCTTTTGGATTAAAAAGACTATTCGGCGCTAATAACTTTGGCGCAAAATTATTTCTTTAACCAAAACTTTTAAAATTGACAAATTTATTAATAAATTTTATATCATTCGTAAGCTAACAACATAATGGATTTTTCTTAAAGAATACCAAATTTTAGCAAAGAAAAATTATAAGGACAAAAATATCGGCGCCAGATAGTCGGCGCCGAGTTGTCTTCGACCGTCTTCCCCACAAAACCTAAACCTTTTGGCTTCAAGTTTTAAGCAAAAACTTCAATCCAAAAGGTTTAGGCTTTATAGGGGGAGTTGAAATGGACAATTCGGCGCAGAATTATTTGGCGTTAGGAAATTTTTGACTGTACATTTTTAGAACTTTAAGGTTAAATTTTACTGCAAGAATAATAATTCACCGTGTTATTATTTTGAGGAGAATTTGTTGCTGAAAAGCCCGATTTTGTTGATATTCTCGACATTAAAGGTTTCCCTCCAGGATTTGTTAAAATATTAGCTTGTTGTTTTTCATTTTGTTTTGTATTTTTATTTGTTGTCCTTCCAATATTGGAAGGGCGGATTAATTTAGAAGATTGTAATGGAAGTAAGGATTTAGGCCTGTCATTTCCAGAAAGAAGAGAAGAACGCAAAGAGGCAGAGGCGGTTGATGTACTGGCTACCATAGATTGTGTTGCGCTTGTTGGCATTGAAAAACACTTGAAAAATAAATATTAAATTAAAAATATTTTTCTCAACAGTTGGGGCAGTTCTGATTTTCTGGTTCCGACAGTCCCAACAATTTAGGAGCAATCTTTATCTAATTATTCCCCGAGACAAATATTTAATCTCGAATAAATTCAAATCAAAATTACCTGCTTCCTTTGTTTTGTTTTATTATTTTCTGTGGAAATATTAGAGCATTGGCTAATATTCAATTCTGCCGAATCTGGTGGAGATAAAATAGTGGAAGTATTGCTAGAAGACATTTGGGTGGGGCAAGGAATTGTTGAATTATTTAATTTATTTGAAGGTGATTTTTGTTGTAAGGAGGAAGAATATTTTCTTGTGGACGAAGAAGGGGTTATTAATGAGGAAGTATTGTTATTAATTCTTTTATTATTTGAAGGCCCTTGTTTTGATAAAGATTGTTTATTTGTTTGTGGGGGCATTATTTCTGAATTTTCTTTCTTGGTTATTTCTTCTTGTTGTTGTTGTTGTTGTTGTGTTGATTTTAACTAAAAATTTTTTTAATTAAGAGAATTAATTTAATTTTATAACAATTAAAATTATAAGCAAAATTTCTCAATCGATTTTAAATAAAATTCTATCAACTATTTTGTCATTTATAAATAATTATATAAATTTATTTTAAAAGAAAGTTTGTCCAAGTAATTGACAGACGATGATCTCCTTTCTCTCATTTATAAAAAGAATTAAAAGAAAAGAAAATAATAATCACTATCTTTATAATCAATCATATTTTAGCTAAAAATGTCAAAACACATCCTTGGGATTTTATGACTTATAAAAAAGTTCTGGTCATTTTAGGATAATTTAATATATTTATAGTTAAAAACACTTTTTAGGTATTTTTCAAACTTAGCTAGTAAAAATTGAAATTAACATGAATTTTCTGGTTTAACTTTTAATTCATAGAGTTATCAACAATCTTATAATTTCTATTTTACACGCATAATTATTACCTAATTCGATTTAATTTTACTACTTCTCTCAACTAATTTAAATGTTATAAAGTCAAAATCATCAAAAAGCGGTAAATCTCTTTGAGGATATGGAAATAATAAAAATTGAAAGAGATATGTATACCTATTTATTTACTTTATAGTTAACTACATAACAAAAAAAGTAAATAAATAAATATCTAAAACTCTCCTCCAAATGCCCACTTTTGAATTACCAACCGAATTGACAATAATAACATATTAACTACAACTGTTGCTTATTTTAAATAAAAATAAGGAACTGAATGATGAGTGAAAGTTTTTGGGGGGAAAAACAAATGGACGATTAAGTTACTAAAAAAGAATTAAAGGAATGGCCTTGAGGGGAAGGAAAATAAAGCAGAAAGTTAATATTTGAAATATTATTACAATTGCAGCTGTACAAAATGAGGAAAAAATGAAATAAACACTTTTTTGATTCAAATGGAGTGAAAAATTATTTTTTATTGAGAGAATTAATATTGTTTTGATGGAAATTTAAAAATATTTAATTGAAATACTTTCTTACCTTTTCAAATTCTTGAATTTTTTCCAAACTTTCATTACTTTTAGCTATACTTGGTTGGATGTCTTCATTTTCCTCAGCTAATTTTTTCTCCAAATTTTTTGTACTTAATTTTCCTTCTTCATTATTTTTTGTAAAATTCTCTGAATTTTGTTCGGGTTCTGAGCTAATTTGAGAAGTAGACTGAATATTGATATTAATTATTTTATCATCAGTAGTTAAGACATTCTAAATAAAATATGATTAAATTTGATATTAATTTTTAAAATTACTTTTTCTTCAATCTCTTCTTGTTTAACATTATTTACAATATTGTTTTTAATATTTCTGCCAATTAAATGTTTTGAAGGCATCCGAAGTGCTGATTTTGTACATAATATAGAAGCTAGTTGACTAGATGTAGACGGGGAAGGAGGAAAGTTTAATAAAGGTTTTTGAGGTAATGGAGGAGGAGGAGGGGGTTTTTGGGGATGTTGTTGTTGTTGTGATTCTTGTTGACATTTAAATTGAATTTTTGAAGGAGAAGGATTTTGAATAGAAGAATTGTTTATTGTTGAGGGTAATTCTTCTTTTGGATTTAATTTGTTTGAGTTGAAAAATGAAGAATTTACATTTTGTTGGCTAAAAAATAAAATTTCTAAATTTATTTTTATTAAAAAATTAATTTTTAAGGTAAAAAATAAAAGTAAATTAAAAATAAAAATATGTTATTTTAGCTATTAAATCATGCAATTTTTACAGACATTTGGGGGAAAAATAAAAATTTCTTTTGTTAAAGTACCTATCTTTTTATTTGTACACATGTATGTATCAAAATATTTATTTTATTATTTTTTAGAAAAAAGACATTTAATAAAAAAAATCTAATAAAAAAATAAAAAAATATTTTTACACATAAATTAATTTTTAAAAATATTTTAATTAAAAAATAAAATCTACTTTTTGTGTTCATTTCCATTATTTACAACAATAACTTCTTTAACATTTTTATCACTTTTCAAATTATTAGGTATTTTTAATTGTGTTGATTTGTTAATAGAGGTATTGTTTTGGTCTAGTTTAGTGAAATTTGGTGTTTGAGAAGGACTTTTTGGAGAAGAATATTGAATAGAAGGAGGTGGAAATGATGGAGGTTGAGGACCTGAAATAAATTGAGAAGAGTAAATTTTATTGTTAAAATTAATTTTAAATCAAGTCTAGACCAGAAGTTTAATTTAAGAAAATATTTGTAAAATTACATAACAAATATTTGGTAAAAATAAATATTTTTTATATTATTCTGTATATCACAGAAATCCATTTTTCACATTGAAAGATCGAAAGTGATTTTTGATTTGTGCATAAAAAATGATTAGTAATTGAAAATGATTAATAATTTTAAATGGATTTTATGTAAATGTGTGAATTTAATTAACTACTTATATTAAATAAATTAAAAGAAATATTAAAAATAATTCTAAGAAATAAAAAATTGAAGCTTTGAATATTCGGGGATAAGGCAAGCTTGTAGTAATTTTTAATAGAATCTGAGAATTGGAAAACCCTATTCTCGATAAATCTCGTAACAATGTGACATTAAATGAATAAATTAAATAATATTAATGTCAGAAATATTTCAATATAAAAAACATAAAAAATATTAATTAAATTAATAAAATCTACAAATTACTTTCTCTCTTATAAAATAATTTTAAAATAAATAGTGTTGGAGATAAAAATTTTAATAATTATTCTTATCAATTTAAATAATTTCAACTCTTACAATTTTGTTGAGTGCTTGTTGAATAATTTTTATATTTAATTGCAAAATTTGAGGCAATTTTAGATTCCTTATTTATTAAATTATTATTTTGATTTAATTTTTGATAAATTCTTTGATTATTAACATTTTTTGAATTTTGTAAAAATTGTTGTTCTCTGTCAGGAATTGTAGTATTTGGAGAATTAATAATTATTTTATCAGTTTTAATTTGTTGATTTTGTAGACGATTAGTAATTGGAATTTTTTGAGGGATACGAAGAGATGATGCTTGGGGTGTGCTGGAAATAATTAAAAATTATTTAAATTAATTTTTTCTATCTTCTCTCTATTTTTTTAAATTTATTTTAAATTAAATTAATTAAATTTCTGTGGAAAAACAAAAAAATAAATAAATATATTCAAGTTTAATTTTAAAACTAATCTTCAATATATACTTTTATTTATTTAATCTCCAAACCAATGCCGGTTGGCACTGAAGGAGAAAAAAAAGAAGAGTATTATATATAAGAATATAAATTTAAATATAGAGATGTCACTTGTCACCACCCATGACAACACAAAATTATTATTTTAAAATATAATTTTTGACCTAAAACATTGGTCAAAAGGAAGAAAAAAGGAGAAAAACGGGAAAAGAAAGGAAGAAGAAGCTATTAAAAAGTGAAAAGCTTAAAAAATAAAAAAAAAATTTTAAAAAATTTTAAAGAGAAAATAAATATTTAAAAAATAATTTAAAATTTTTATTTAAATAAAAATTAAATTCTCGATCATCTCGCAATATTAAAAATTCAAAAAAAGGAAAGGACTAGAATAAAATAAAAAATTATCTTTAAAAATATCTCAAAAGATTTTTTTCTTTTTTTTTGCTTGAAAAAAATCTTACGGGCAACAGTTTTACGCTTGGAAGAAGCTCCCATCAAACACATCAGAATTTTTTGTATTAAAAAGCAATGATCGAATATATTTAGAAAAAAAGGAAGCAAAACAAGCTTCAGAAACAGCTATTCCCCCTTCAGGGAATTAAACACAAATTTTTTTCTTTCCGCGCCACCCAACTATTTTTGTTTTTAGATGGACAACGGCACAAAAAATGAAAAGCTTGGACGTTTATTTAGTTGGTTGGCAATATATACTGACATTTTTGGGAGGATTTTTGTTGGAGAGATGAAAGGGGGGGAAGAGGAAGGAAAAGGCCATAAAAATTTTTCTTTTTTTCTACGTCCGTTTTGTGATGGTCAGTAACCAATTAAATAATGGTTTTTATTACAGAGACTTTTAATTAGAATAAAAATTCCTCTAAAGTGTATGAAATGAGGAAAAGAGAGGGGAAATTAAAATTGAGAGAAAATCATTAAAATTTAATTTTAAATAAATTTAAAAAATTGAAAATCGATTAAAATTAACAAAAAAATTTTTAAATGATTTTTTAAAAAATTAAAATTTAATTATATTTTTTAACAAAAAAATCCCTTTACCTTCCAAAACGTTTCTCTTCATTATTTTTATTGTCATTATTTGTTTCGTTATTATTTGAGCGAAAATTGAGCAAATTTGGAGGCATTTTAAAGGCAACTCTGTGCTTTTGTTTTGAACGTTTTTTTGTTTCTTCTTCCTCTAGTACATTATTGTTGGATAATAATATTCGTTTTTTGTTTAGTTTATCAGTTGTTGTTGTTTCTTTTAGATTCTTTTTGTTCTAAAATTCATAGAAGAATTAATTTTTCAAATTATTTAAGTCGGACTTTTATATAAATTGATAGCTAAATACATAATAATTTTATTAATTATCGTTTTCGTTAAAAATAGTTTGCAAACTAAAAATACTTTTCGAATATAATAATACTCCAATGAGTAGTCGAAATTAAAACATTGCCATTTTATAAGATATATAAGTAGGTAATGGTATTTGAACTGCTTCACAAAGCTGATTTAAAACTTGCAATCTGCAAGTATAAAAAATTGAAAATGTACCAAATAAAACTTAAAATGTAGACATTAAAGACTAAAAATCTCGGTTATCGCTGTTGAGATTGTAAAATTTTCTCTTCGATCACTAAATTGGCTACCTAATGCATACTTCGTATTCCTTCTTCATTTTACTCGTAATTAAGAGTAAAGGTTTTGACTAGTTCAAAATATTACAATATTAAGAATACCGCAAAACATACAAATCCGACTTAATTAATCGTCCCAAAATAACCTTTAATAGACCCTCCTTCTCAATACTTCCATTAACTGTAGAAGAATTTCCACTAATATTTGTGTGACAAACACTTCCGTACCCGGATGATGAACTGCACTGCTCGTAAATGTGTGAGGATGATGTCTTTGAGGAAGGATTAGAAGAACAATAAGAGGGATTTGACAAATGTTTTGGTGACTAAATAAAATAAAAAAGAATTAATAAATTAAATGTTTTTGTTAAAAATTAAGGAAAAACATGTATGTAGGTATATTATTTATTAAACAACTGTTTTTGCAGAATAAAACAAAATATTTTTTTTTACTTGTTGCTGTTGATTATTGAAATGGACACGTCTTTGATGAATGTTTTTATCTTCTACAATTTTTCTCTTTTGCCTTTTGTATTCCGAAAGTTGGTGGAGGAACTGTAAAATGGCACCTAAATGCCCGTTTCTAATATCTGAAAAAAATAAATTGAATTTGAATGATTTGGATTTAAAAATTTTGAGATTTTCTTGGCTGGTTTCTAGGTTCTTCCTATCTAGGAATTTTTAGGTTCCACAATAGGTTTCTAATTTAAAAAATTTAAGAATTAAATTTAAATAAAATAAATACTAAAATAATTAAGGAATATTTAGATCATAGGCTAACGGATTTTTACTTAAATTTAAAGCATAAGAACGTTAAAAACCCAAAAAATATAAAACCTAAAAAAATCATTTTTAATATAAATAGTTTTTAATAAATACCACAAATTTAAAATAAATATACTCTTTTCTAATTATTCGAGAAATGAAAAAAAGGTGATTAAAATTTATTTAAAAATGAGTAACCAATTGTTGTTAATTATTCTTCAGGAGAACGGAAAAATTGAGGCGGAGAGGGGGGATATAAAAATGAGTAATGTGTGTGTGAAAATGAGAACAAAATAGCTAAACATTAAAAAAAGAAGTGAGAAATACTTGTTTTTTGTGGCTTGAAAATTTTAATAAAAAAATTATTGTTAAATAAAATTAAAATAAATATTTTTAAAAAATAATTAAAACATTTTTAGAATAAAATAAATTGTTAATTTTTAACGATGAGAGAATTGTGTAATATTTATATTAAATAACCAATTGTTTAGCTATTTAATTCCTACAAACGACCTTTTCTTTCTTAAAAAATTCTTTTCAAGTCAATTAAAAAATAAATTTCCCTGTGTGATTCATTAAAGCATTAAGCAATCTTTAATTTAGCCATTAATTTAATTGTTTTTGGAGGAAAAATAAGGGAAATTTTTGTTAAAAATTTGTGTAAAATTGGCTATTTTAATGAGAGAAAATTAAAGAAGATTAAATTAAAAATAATATTCTTTTAAATGTCTTTAATTTTATATAAAATTTTAAATTTCAAAAAATTAAATGGAGATTTTCCTATAATAATCAAATCAAATATTAGGCTATTTTAATGAGGGAAAATTAATAAAAATTAAAATTGAATTAAAAAGAATATTTTTCAAATGTCTTTAATTTTTTATAAGATTTTAAATTTTAAAATTAAATGGAGATTTTTCAATATTAATCAATTATTAATTATAATAATAACTGACACAAATATATAAAATCAAAATTATATATTTTATGGGTGGTAATATAAATAATAAAAAGGGATTACAAGAATGTTTGTGTCTTTTGGAAGAACAAATGCGGAACTGATTGGCATTTCGAAGGGAAAAAAAGGTGGTTGGAGGGTTGTTTGTAGGTAATCAACGGACAGTTACTACTAAATATTTAAAAACAAACAAGAGTTTATTTAGTAAAAATAAAATGAGAGATTTAGGTAGGTAGGTAGGTAGTTTGGCGCCGTAAAAAAGCGGTGGAATGCTTTTGACTTTAATTAATATATTTATTTGCGCACCAAATAAAAATAAAAAGAAGTTCACAGAAATGGTGATTGAAGGTATATTGAACACTAATGAGTGGTTTTGATGAGAAAAAAAAGAACAGCAATCAAGAATTGATAGAAATAAATTATTGAAAAGGAATGGTAAAAATATAGGTACTTTGTATATAAAAAAAGTAAAAGTTATAGTAAAATGTTTAAAGGTTATCTGATTTGGGTAGGGGGCGAGGGGCGAGAGTGGAGGGAGATAATTGCAAAAAAAGTCACCCAAGATTATGATTGCCTTTTTGACTCAGATAAGGATTCTTTTAGTCCTGAACCTGAACGTTTTTTGGGTTGGACAACCCAGATAG